ATAGTATGATACTCATTTCTTCCAAAAGAGGCTTAATTGGATCTGGACCAAAAATAAGGTCAGTATGGATCTTTATGATTTTTACATAGTATTCAATTGTAACTCATCTAACATCACATAAGATGTTTTATAGAGAATAAATTATTACTGGACATTCATAGATCCAATAAGTTTGGAGCTATGAGGATGCAAAAATATGGATCCAAAGCATGGATCCTCTTGATTTCTTCAGATTCCACTTAAACCACATCATATAGACAGACGTCACAGAACCAACAGTAGATTCCAAGAAAGAAAATGTGAGACTCATTCAATGTCTATGATTCTATATTTTAGATGCATCCTGGCAATCTATTAAAATCCCTGCTTTAATCCCATCCTTAAGATTTATGCTTCAGATCCTTATTTTTCTATTGGGGTACAGCAAATTGTTGAATTCATTGTTATTTCTCAGTCTATGCAAATGGAGATTTTCTATGATTTAATTGTTTCTAGACAGATCTAATATATAAAAATAGGTAGATTTATGTTATGTCCCCTGAATCCACATTTTAATACAACTAAATATAACAACAAATAAATCTGAACTGATTTTTACCAGTTTCTTCATTCAGGCTGTTGTGTTCCATGACTTGAATATAGTTTTGGATGGTAGAGAAAATATAAATATATGTTAAAAAAAATCAAAATCAAATAACATTTTAAAAAATCAGTGCCTCAGAGCCAAAAACGGATGTTTGGTTGTTGTGAATTGTCCATAATTTGATGACTTCAGATTCTGAGAAAAAAATCATCTGAAACAGGAAGGGTACATGCTGTTTTTTCGATTTCCAGTTGGTAATACACAAAAGTTTTCGAGCGTAAGGATTTTGTCGTCATGTTGCTTAGTAATCTTACATCTTCCCATTCTCTCTTTTGCTTAAATTAGATAAAGTTCGTAAACGAAACCTAGGAACAGTTGTGCAATGCCCATGGTTGCTGTATCCTGCAAGGGAAACCGTCATTTGAGGAACTTTATATCGGACACGCCGAAATCTCAGACTTTTAAGTACATAGTGTTTTAATTCCACTCGTTTGTCCACCGAAACCAAAGAAAATTTTTGCAACAAGGTGAAACTGCTCTATTCAAAAGATTGTGGAATTGGATCTAGTCTTGGGTCTAAAAATACAGTAGTGAAAGTGTGACGTGTAACTGAGCTGTTCTATTGTGTTGCCCTTTGATAGCTATTCCTCAAATGAATCTGTCTCAATCCGCTTGGCATTCTGAACGCGAGGGCGGCAATGTTTTACGAATTGAAACCCTTTTACAGTGTTTCTCAACCTTGACAATTTTAAGGCATGTGGACTTCAACTCCCAGAATTCCACAGCCAGCATTGCTGGCTGTGGAATTCTGGGAGTTGAAGTCCACATGCCTTAAAATTGTCAAGGTTGAGAAACACTGCTTTAGAACTATCGGCAACCTAAATAAATGGCGTAGGTACCCTTCAAATGGGAGAAAAGATCGCCGAGCTCAGTGTTTATCAACTTGGCAACTTGAAGATGTGTGGACTTCAATTCTCAGAATCTACTAGTCAGTTATTGCCTGGGGAATTCTGAGAGTTGAAGGCCACGCATTTTCAAGATGCCAAATTAAAAAAAAAATAACACTGAACTGCTTCAATGGTTTCTTCGCGAGTGAATGACGACGTACTGTACCGATAGCAGGAATAGAAAATGAGGATGTCCTGGCCGACAAAGTAGCAGTTAAACTACGGAATTGTTGCTAATCTAATTTATTATCTCTATGTTTGTCCCTCTTATATTTCCCCCTCTGACGTTAGGGGGCGGAGCATTACGCAACAGCTCAAGTCCTAGTTTGAGCGGAAATAGAGGAAAGTATTTCCGGGTCGATTGGCAGGCTGTTCTCTGTACATCCTTGCTGGGGGTGTTTGTTTGCTCAACTCTTTTCATCGGAGGAAGTCTGAAAGTCAAGAAGAATTTAAAGGCCAGCTCCCATAGAAAAGAAGCAGAACCAACTACAGCCGCAATTTTGCCAACACAGAACTAACTCACTGCTTCTTGCCCCGTGGACAGAGGGCAACCTGCTGTTGCCTGCATTGCAGAGTCTTAAGGTGGAATCACAAGGCAAAAGCATCGTTTCCAAGATGGAATATTAGAAACCGTCTTTTCCCCAGCTAAGAAAACACTGTTGCGGGGGAGGGGGGCGCGCATACTTGGATGTGACCTAACAGTGCATTTATGTTTGCAGAAAAACTGTTTACCATATGAAGATTATGTCACCTTTACTTAGGGATTCTCCAAAACATGAATTGGCCAGGGATACTAAACACCTGGAAGTGTCTTGAACTTAATCATTTCTGTTTTGGAGGCATAAGCCAGCAAAAAAAAAAAAAAGATTTCAACGGGAAGCTTGATAATATGTGTATACTTTATACCAGGGATAGGCAACCTTGGCTCTTTTATGACTCGTGGACTTCGACTCCCAGAATTCCTGAGCCAGCATGAGTCATAAAAGAGCCGAAGTTGCCTACTCCTGCTGTATACAATAGAACTTTTAGTAAGTTTAAAGGAACAATTAGGATATTGGCTTGGAGATATTTATAATAATAAAGTTGGAAGGGACCTTGGAGGTCATCTAGTCCAACCCCCTGCTCAGGCAGGAAACCCTACACTATTTCGGACAAATGGCTGTCCAGTCTCTTCTTAAAAACTTCTAGTGTTAGAGCATTCACTGCTTCTGGAGGCAGTTGTTCCACTGGTTAATTGTTCTAATTTGATTTATTGGAATTTTCTGAATATTCCTTAGATTTGCTGTCAGAATTTTTTTATTTATATCCCACCTTTATTATTTGTACAAATTACTTAAGTCAGAAAACATCTAACACTCTTTCCACCTTCTTGTTCCTCACAACAACAATCGTGAGGTGGGTTGGACTGAGAGAGGTACCAGCTGGCTTTCATGCCTGAGGCAAGGTTGGAACTCATGATTTCCTGGGATCTAGTCAGGTGCTTTAACCATTATACCAAACTGGTTCTCCAAATGATAATTAGCCAGAAACATACTAGGAATATATACTGTATATATTAGCCTTAAAGAAGTTGTAACTATTTTAGCCTATGAAGAGATTCCACCTAGAAAGAGTTTGGTCATATTTTCCTGAAAGACAAAATTTAAAATTTGTAAGTTTTCCAAATCTAAAAATTAAGAAATTTCCTATTATGTGGGAGATCCAGCCTAAAGAAATGGATACACCCATATATTTTCTGAATATTTATTCAGAGGCCCATGACTGTGAAACTGCCCTATAATAAAAAAGTCAAAAAATTGCTCAACACCTTAAATAGAAAACCATTTTAGAACTAATGGCAGGCATCTGTTATACTATAAATCTAGAAAGCAATGTAAGCTAATTTGAAAAGTCATCTTTTTTTAAAAGTTCTCAAATTAAAAATTCTACAATCTCATGTCTTTCCTTTTTCTTTTTGAATAGACCCACTGCTGTTCAGTTACAGCTATCACAAAGCCAAGGTTTTGGTTTTTGTTTTGAACAGCACTTTCCAAACTAAGGATGTTGGAATGAGGAACTATTTTCTTTAGGATTAATCATAGTTAAAAATATCAAAAAGGAACAAATTCTTACTAAACAAAATGAAAACCTACTACATTTTTTGCCTTGTATCCTATGTGCTGTTAGACAGATTTGTAGATTCTTTTTTGCTTTTAAACATCTGGTGATTGTATCGATGAAGATTTTCAATCATGGGCAAAAGATTTTTTTGAAAGAAAAATCTTTATTGGTTACGTTTATGCAACCTGAATCATTATTAGTCTCCTGAATAAAAAAAATTAATTTCTCACAAATTTCCAAGTGTTTGCTAAACATGCTACAATTTATGTGCACCTGTTTTGTTGAAACCTGCCAAACTAGTTGAAAATAGGAGCCCTATCCATTCATAACCGTAAATATTGCTATTATTGTTAAATGGTCTCCTATCCAGCCCTTTAATTTCCAGATGCAACTCCTTTTGGAGCATCTTTGTATTTAAAAAAAAAACTTGCTTTCCTTTCATCCAATAGGTAGAACTCTAGATTGTATCAATGATAGTACAAGCAAATTATATTTTGTTAATAAATGGATATTAGCCTGTTAAAATTCTTTTGGATAATATACCTTGCCTTGAAAAAGAGAGTATTGTAGACAGCTTTTCAAATTTTATGTAACTTATTTCAAGATTTTGTTTTGTTTTTTCCTCTGACAAGAGATGAAAGTGAGCTTTTTGTTTCATCACTCCAGAGCAGGGGTAGGCAACCTTGGCTCTTTTATGACTCATGGACTTCAACTCCCAGAATTCCTGAACCAGCATGGCTGGCTCAGGAATTCTGGGAGTTGAAGTCCACGAGCCATAAAAGAGCCAAGGTTGCCTACCCCTGCTCCAGAGATACATGTGGAATCACACAATAGGACATACAAAGAATTTATCTTACATTCTTGGAAAACATTTTTAAAAAATATTATTAAATTGGAGATTCATTGATTACGCTTTATATGGAGCGATTCTTTTAATGGACTAACTCAAAAGACACTAACACCCAATTTGATATTACTTTGATTCTTACTTTGTTAAAAATGAAAAACGTTATTGCCTTGATGTATAAATAAAATACACATGGGACTTTACAATTTTAGATTGCTTGGAATGCAACTGATTTAAAAATAAATTGTTATTGAGGGTATTATGAATCTATATTATAGGGTAATCAACATAGATAAAAATAGAAACTGTTATCTTTTTTTTAAGCTTTAAGCGTGTTGTTGAATTTTACTTTAAGGAAAGAAGTATATCAACGTGCAACAAAATATCTAATAATTTTACCATTTTAAAAACCTGTACAGAAATATAAGAAAATAACCACAGCAAAATGTAAATAAATAATTGCCAGGAAAATATAACTGACAAGTAAATTGAAATTGTGCAGAAGTACAGTCATACTTCAAGATTTTTTTTCAGATCCTTTTAATTAAAAAAAAGAAAATAGGCATGCTACAAAGTACCAATATTTAACATTTTTATTTACAAAAATGCCTTTTGTCCCCATAATTCTTAGACAATAAAATGGAAATTGCCACCTAAGTCACATAAATTACATAGCCGTCAACAGCCAGCCTCTGTTCCAAATAAACATCTTGACAAAAGCTTCAAAGTTTTGTACTTGCCCAAGAATACAAGTACGTGATATCACAATATTATGAGCTACATCAGGGGTCTTCAAACTTGGCCCTTCAACTCCCAGAATTCAATGGGAGTTGAAGTCCACAAGTCATAAAAGGGCCAAGTTTGAAGACCCCCCCCCCCAGCTACATTTTTTGCTATCTCTTGAATGCCCATGAGAAGGAAGATGTGCATTAAGAACATACTGGAGAGTTGGAATAGAGAGCAAAGAATGGCTTAAGAATGGCTTCCCCAGAAGGCTTTTTTTGCAAGGAAGTAATAGAGGAACAGAAACAAAAACTCGACTAATTTTAAAGGGCCAGGACATGGCCCAAAGTTCTTGTCTGAATCAGTTTCTTCTGACTATGAAAGGGAAGCATAGCTAGCAGATCCATAAGACCACTGCTCCTCCAAGCTAAATATGAAAGTGGAGAGACTAAAGAAGTACCAGATAGCTGTCAGAACACTTTAAAAAAAATATTCAGAAGTAGGTTATTGCTTGAAGTAAGTAAACCATAATTCCAAGAAAGTACGGTAGTACTAACTGCTTGGCTGAAGATCATGAATTTCTTGGATAAAAGCTGTCATTTGTACTTGTTTCTGTGATACGTTGACCTCAGGTGTGCTATTTTTTGTAAGCCACCCTTGGTTTTTAAAATCTCTGATAGACTCTGAACATCTTGATACTTATTTCCTTATTCTTTGAATAGTGATAATAGCACTTATTTGATTTGTGCTGTGCTGCAATTAAAATTACCTGATTATGTCTCTTACTGTAATGTTTGAATTCTGAGAAAGAATATAACCTTGTAAAATTGTCTGCTGATAAATGAGATATTTGTAATTGGTTGATTGTACGTGCAACATGCTCTCAAAAAGTTTGCATTGGCCCCAAACCTCCAGCTATTCAATTTCAATGAATAATCCCAGGTTTTAGTAATATGAGAATGAAAAAAACCCTCACTTCAGTTTTGTGCACATGTATAATGTCATTTTATTTGTCTTTCTTCTAAGCTAAAGATCACGAGATCTGTCTCCTCTTTCCTCAAAGGGCAGTTACTCCTTGCTGATTTTTCAGCTCTACTATGAGTAATCACAGCTATCCATTACTCTTATATTACATTACTCTTTAAATGCTTATGTTAAAAACATGCCTCTTTCACTTCAAGCATTAGCAATTTTTTTGGGGGGGGAATAGTTTATTAGCAAAAATCTGTACAATATAAAAGAGAAGAAATCAAAGATATTGTTAGGGACTGCTTTCATCAATATCCTTGTCTGGGTCTGTCTCTGGATTTTCATCCTGTTGCTCCTTCTTCCAGAGTTTAGCCATTGCAAGCAGTTTGAGGTTGGGTTGATTGGCAGCATCTTCTGGGAAGATATAATCATAATATTCTTCCCAGCCGGCGTCAGACTAGAAAGGAAATGTAGACATAATCAAACCTCCATTATTAGAATTGTTTTAAACTGTGTGACATTACCACACAGCATTTGGTCTTTTTACAAAGTGCATTAAAGACCAATTTAGGCCACAGATATTGCTTGTTTGAAAATCTCAGAGAACTAAGGAAATATCTTGTCTCTCTACTGGATGTACAGAATCTTTTAGATTATCTGAATAGATCCTAATGTTATTGGGGTGATTTTTCCTGAATAATATTTCCTGAACATAAGCTTTGTTATGAAATATAAATGAACTGTTGCATCCTTCACATGCATCAGAGTACAGCATTATATTCTGTAGATTCTCTGCACTCACTCTAATTTATTAAAAGAATAAGCAGAGGGAAGAGGGAAAAACTGTCTATTTTGGTAAGGTCTACCTGCATTTGTTACACTGCTATACTACATAAAGTACTTGTGGAAAACCAGATTTCTAGGTGGACGTCTTACCCCATCTTCAGCCTGAAGTTTTCTCCGCTTCTTGACTTTTTCAGGCATCAGTTTGTCAACTCGTTCTCTGCTGGATTCTGTTCCAAACTCCTCTTCAAAGTTTTTCCAAGATTCCAAGAGCATAAGCCTCTCTTCTTTCTCCTCACAATTTCTCATTGTTTTATTTGCCTCTTCATATATTTGCCGGCATCGTGGTAAATTGTTCCTTTTATCTGCTGAGAGCTCAAATTGAGCAAAACTGATCCATACCTGAAATAAATAGAGCATATTATGATAACTAGCTAATCTATGTATGTACAATAAGTTGTCACATACTTATTATAGTCTTTCTCTGTCTAGGACAGGGGTGTCAAACTCAATTCACTGAGGGCCGCATCAGCACTGCGGATGCCCTTGGGGGGCCGGGTGGGTGTGGCCAGAGTGGGTGCAGCCTACTGGGTGGGTATGGATGGAGTGGGTGTGGCCAGTTCTACATCATTCGCGTCAAGGGGGCCTGTGGGGGCCTGGGCAGGAGTGGGACAGATCTGAGGGTCTCTGGCAGAAGGGGGTGGGACCAGGGCAAGTGCCAAGGCATGGTCCACCGGGACAAGTGCCAAGATGGCCACCACAAAATTGTACATTGGCTCCCGGCCGGCCTGGGTCAGGGCCAAGGCAGCGGGGGCCGTTCCCTCACTGTTTCCAGGATGGCTTCGCAGGCCACATGAAACCACTTTGCGGGCTGCATCCGGCCCCCGGACCTGGTGTTTGACATGTCTGGTCACCTATTCTGGAACTGTACATTTTTGGCCATTTTTAGAAAGGATTTCATACTGTTTTCGATTAGAACTTGTAATGTAAGCAGTGTATAAAATTACTTAATAGTATTTTTTCCCCAAAGGAAACATACTATCAAAACTGAAGTATATTTAAAAGAGAATAAGGAAAAGAAAATCGGAGTCAAATGTTGATCTCCTTTTTTCAAATAAGATGAGAAGAACAAAGTTTATATAATGTAGGTATACAGAACAGCCAGACTGTGCCATGCAGCTACCAGAATCAAGTCAATGTTGTCGAGCAGCCTGAAATTCCCTTATGGATAAAGACATACAGTAACTGATGAACACAAAGCAAGTCCTCTACCAAGTTCTTAGGTTAAAAATGAACAAAACTGAATTTTTCACTCATCTTTTTTCTAATTAAATAATGCTCCCATCAACATTTAACATAAAAATGGGAATATTATTTCAATTCGATTTTAACATTTAAAAATGTTACAATTTTTATTCTTAAAACAGGGGTAGATAACTTGATTAGAAGCTAATCAACTCTCTCATGCTGTCCTAAAGGTGAAATCATTTCCCTGAAGTATAATAGAAGTGCAAAAGGCCATTCCAGTGAGTATTTTTAAAGGGGCAGATGGGCCTTTGACCTTATATGTCATACTAGCCTTTTCAGCCATTCCAAACTTGAAAACTTTTTGAAGAAGCTTTAAGAGCAGCAATATTTAAATAGAGCAATATGTAAAACATAATTTACAATATACATAAGTTTAGACTGCAATTTTTCTTATTTTTTTTCTTCTAATCAGTTTTTCTATTTTTGTAAAACTTCTCATAAAATTTTTTTTTTTAAAAAAATCAATTATTAAGAAAAACTCACTTAAAATTGGCTAAATTAAAATCTGGTGCCACCTTCTCTGTATTTATTTCAGTTGCAAAAGTGTGCACAATTAGTGCTACTACAGCCAGAATGGAATTCAGCTTTGGCGGAGTCCTTACCTTAACATGCTGTGTTCGCTGAAGCAACCTCCTGTATAAATTTCTTGTATTCTCATATTCCTCTTGTTCAATTTCAAAGTCTATGTAAGATTTCCAAAGCACCTAGGAGAAGAAAACTCTATTTTTCCAATTTGGAATGTAAAAGCGAATTTATAAAAATAAATCCATATAAAAAGTGCCTAAAATAACACATGGAGAAAAAACTTCTGAAGAACTATATTTTAGGTACTTGTTTTAGAGGGTTTAACTTGATTTCCACCAACAGTTCAGAGCAGCTTACACAAGGTTCTCTCTTCATTTTATCCCTGTATCATCAATTCTGTGACATATGTTGCACTAAGAGATGTGGCTGGTCTAAAATCACCTGGTGAATTGGCATGACTGTATCTTTGTTTTCTTGGTTTGAGACCAACACCTTGATGTACCTTACTAACAATCCTCCAGAGTTGAACTCTAGGTAGAAATTATCAGGATCAATTCTAATTGGTTATTTCATCCCGGATATGGTTTTGAGACTAATAACCTAGGTGGGAGACCTAGGCTGGAAACTGTATGAGGGACAATCTCTTGAATTGCTTGATGGTTTTCAGTGGTCTTCTGGGCCATATGACAGGACTGAGTTTTGAGGTTACCACTAATTTGCAGTGGTTCTAGTTCTTTCTGGGAGGACATATCCAGAAAGCAGTACTGTGAAATTACAGTTCAATAACTGGGTCGCTGGACCTATGGTGTTTTTATAGGATTCTATCTTGTCTTTATACTATTTAACGATGAGACTGATGGGGCAGGTCATTTTGAGTGAGGTGCCATCATTATGCAGATGACATCAAGCTGTATTGCCCCTTACCATCTAATTCCAAGGTGGCTAGACCCTTGAAAGTTGTATAAACTCAACAATGGACTGAAGCAGAGAAAGTAAGCTAAAATTAAATCCAGACATGATGGAGGTATGGTGGTTAAAGACAAAGAAGGACTTGGATGTTAAGGTAAAGCTTGTTTGGAGTGTTTGGAGTGCCCCTTGAAATTCAGCCGTCATTGTATATGCAGATGAATGCAGTGGCAAGAACATCTGTACAACAATGGCTATTGTTCCTATTGCAGTTTCTGAGCCTTTCAGACCTAGTGATTAATCCATACTTTGATTATATACCCTCTTTCTAATGCAGCATTCTGGCTAGTGCAATTAACACCTCTTTCCAAGGAGCTAGCCTTGAAAACTGCCAGGAAATTATAACCCATATAAAATGGAGAAGGAAAGCTGTTAACTAGTAAGAGGTATTGAAAGATTTGCACTAGTCGTATCTGGTTATCAGGCACAATTTATAGTGCTAGTGCTGATTTTTAAAACCCTAAACCAGGGGTAGGCAACCTTGGCTCTTTTATGATTCGTGGACTTCAATTCTCAGAATTCCTGAGCCAGCCATGGGAATTGCAGTCCACAAGTCATAAAAGAGCCAAGGTTGCCTACCTCTGCCCTAAACAGAATTTGTTTGATTTGTATACAACCCATTTCGCCTACCATTTGCTGAGATTGCAAGCTCTGCTGTTTGTGGCTATCTGAAAGATTGTTTCTACTAGGAACTCATTCAATTACCGTATATGCCGGTGTATAAGACGACTTCCAGAAGCGCTAAACTCAGGCCAAAGACGGGGGTCGTCTTATACGCCGAGTCGTCTTATACACCGGAAATACTGGTAGTTCCCGGCGTATAAGACGACGTTCTAGGAAGGCGACCTGGCGATAAAGACGGGGGTCGTCTTATTCGCCGGGTCGCCTAATACGCCGGCATATATGGTACTTGTGAAGTAGGGGAGACTCTTTCGAAGACTTGCTCACTGCCAGAAACTAGGCTACTTAGCATGAAGGAGGCAGCATTCCCCTATCTGACTCCCAGGGTCAGAATGTGCTCCCTACAGAAGTATGTTTGGTCCCTACTTTCCCAGTATTTAGAAAAATAACAAAATACCCTCTTTCCCCAAGCTTTTATTTGTTAGATAAATTTATTTTTTTCTTGATTTGAACTGTATTATTTTTAATTGCTATAAGCCAAGGAAAATGCCAGCGAGGGTTTATGTGAGCCCCATATTAATGGCTGAAAAAAAGTTTATTGAGCTTGTTTTAAAAAAGCAGTGTGCCGAGCAGTTCTTTTCATTCTTCTTCAGCCCCCTCCAAAGTGGTATTCCTCACCAATTAGACCTGTTGCCTGAATTCCGTGAAGGGGCAAGATGGGCCCGTCATACAGCAATAGGAATTTAGTTGACTATAATGCCAGTCTGTGCTTCCAAATGTAACAGCTACACTTAGTCCCGGGTTGCTGCTGCAGTGGAAAATAATCTGCCACTGCTGCTCTGCTTCCCCTCATCCATTGGGTGCATTCCAGCCCCATTTCTCTGAAGCTTCCTCCTACCCGGGAAGCCATCTCAAGCTGAGCAAACAGTCCATTTCTAGCCAACCTAGTTCATCAAGGCAACTACACCACTGATTTCAGCAGCACCAATACTACTACTCCCACCCTGCCCTTACTGTAGTGAACCTTTTGTTAACAAATGGGTAGCATGTCCCTGCACAAGCTTCCTTGAGAACGACAGAAGTACAGATTTAATTAAACATTTCTATATGTCTCCTATGTATTCCCTCTATATACAACAAAAATACATTATTAGGAAGAGCAATCCCCAGAGCCTTTCTTACCTCGGGCATATCCAATCGAGGCTGGCCAATAGCTAGTTCATATATAGCTCTGGCTCGATCAATGTCACCTAGAATAGTTTCTAACTCGGCAAATTTGATCCAGGATGTGCAGTTTTCAGGTGCAAATTCTAAAAACTTCTCATACAGTTTCCGACAACGGTCAAACTCTCGCAGTTGTAGCTCCAATTCAATATAGCCTTTAAATAGTTTGTTCTTTGGACATTTACCTATAGAGGTCCCCTACAAAGAAGGAAGAAGTTCTTCAAAGCTTCTCAAGAAAGTGCAATTATACAAGCATAAAAACTGAAATACACTTTTGCTCCAAAAAAATGAGGTATCTGGGCTCTAAAGGTCTAATTTTTGAATTATTACATTTATATCTTATTGTGTTCTTATTGCATATTAAAATGGTCTACGAAGACCAAAAACTATCGTGAGCGTGGTAGCTTTATTTCAACATTCGGTAGGCATATTTCAACATTTTAAAAAATGTTAAGAGTTAGCCATAAAAGAAACCATTGGAGTTCGGAAGTCAATAAATTTAAACAATAACAGGAAAAGCAAAGACAGTATGGTATTCACTAGAAATAGGAAGATTTGTTTAATGGTACTTTAGAGACCATCTGTATATAAAGAAGTCAGTTGGGTTGTTGTTTTTTCCTACCACAACTTTGCAAATCAAGCTAAGCACGGGCATTCTTATAAGGCAAATCAAGTTTTCAGGAAGGACCTGACCTTTCCATACATTTTGGAAGTTACCATCAAATTGCCAGATGAGTTTTTCCCTGTGGGACAAAATGTAAATGGTGGTAGAACATCTATTCCAATAGGAAATACAAAATAAATGTATTAAATTACATCTACTTATAGTCTTGGTCTGATGCAACATAAAAAGTATCAGTACCTTTCAGCATAATGTTTTTTAAATTTCTGACATACTACTATAAGCCAATAAGAATTTTAAAGTATTGCTTTCAAGAGAGATCAGATGATAACCATTTTCATTAGTATCTTTCTAGAACAAAAAAGTTACTTAATTTTACTTACCAATGCTCGCCTGGCAAGATGGAGATGCTTCTGTCTAATTTCAAACTGTGCGTAGAGCAACCATATCTTGGCAAATGTAAACTGAGTGGAAAAACAGTATAAAATTTAGCTAATTTCAGTTTGCTGAGTTAAAAACAATGCTTTCGTACATACGAAAATGACTAGGATCACAACTGTTTGGAATTTTTAAATTTATTCACTTTTATCCCGCCTTCATTATTTTTATAAATAACTCCAGGCAGTGAAGACAGATAATGCTCCTTCTTCCTCCTATTTTCCCCACAACAACAATCCTGTGAGGTGAGTTGGGCTGAAGAGAGTGATTGATTCAAGATCACTCAGCTGGCTTTCATAATTAAACAGGGACTAGAACTCACAGTCTCCTGGTTTCCTCAATAAAGTAATTTTCTTGAAACCCATTAGAATAAAGTATGTGTACAGTATCTTTAGCAGGTTTATATTATTTGATCAGCCCATAAGGCTGACTGACAAGACATGATTTCTGAAAGCACAAAATTGGACAATGCGTCAATGAGAAACAGGAAGACTAAATTACAATTCATTTCTATTTTATTTTGGTTCTCCTGCACTTTATTTGTGACCACTCAGTTATAATCTAAATCTATTTAGAGTTATACATTCATGTATAATCTAAACTACTAAATCACTGTAGCTGACTCATTTTCTAGTTTCATAGAATTTATTATTCGATATGGATTCTGAAGGAAGGGCATATTAAATAAAGGAAATGGTTTGTTCATATTGTAATGGTATATGGAAATGACTTGGAAGACAGGAGGGAAGGCTGCAAACTGACAAGTGGCATATAAAAGATGTTTCAATCCACAGAAAGGAGAATAGGATGGAAAACATTTCAGAAGGGACCCCCCCCCAATTTTCCAGGAGTTTCCTTCCTCTCCAAAGGAAAGGACGAAAGAAATACTTTCAGTCTTGGAAGAGTTTTTTTTAACATAACCTAATAATAAAGACAGATCCAGTGCTCCTGGTTGTGTTTGTGTCTGCCCTCCCTACCCTGCTGGGCTAACACATATGGAACTTAGAGCTATTTTGCAGAGATTATAGCATTTTCTCTCATATAATTTAGGTTTATATAACATCACCAGTAACCTCAGTTCAGAAATTTTATTATTTTGAAAGAAGCAAAGGATTCTCAAAACTCTATGAATAAATTAAGTGCGTGTGTACACACATTAACTCACACAAATACATCCATGCAACTCTATGATTCGCTGTAGCAGTGATGGGCAACTTTTTTTCTTGGACTTTTTTTCTGGTGGCATCCCACCGACTCTAAATCTCACCACTATAATTTGTCAATAAAGTGATCTATTTTAGGACAGTGTGTCTGCTTTTTAAAATAATAATAATAACAACAATAATACTAATATTAATAATAGGGAGTTTAATTTGGAACTTTGAATCTGGGTCCCCTTTTTGGGTCTGTTGTAACTTCAAACAGTTGCTAAGTAACAAGTCATAATTTGAGGACTACCTATACAGTACAATCTGCCTTGCTGACCAAGACAGATTTTTCCTTTCCCTATTCTCTTATATATATCTACTTGATTACAGGCAAGAGTTGAAGATACATTTAAATCCTATTTTTCAAAAGAATATAAACTGCTTCTATTGAACTAGAACAGGGATTCCCAACCGGGATGCTTGGACTTCCTGGGGGTGCGAGTCGATATTCTAGGGGATGTGAAAACTTGGGTTTAGAAGTTTCAAAAATTATAGTGTATATGCATAATTTGTTATTTTGAACTTTTGTAAGGGATGCAAGAATATATCAGAAGCGTTCTAGGGGTGCGGGGTATAGACAAGGTTGGAAACGGCTGAACTAGAATGTCCACTTAGAATATCCATTCCATGAATTTCTCAAATCCCTTCTTAAAATTATTTTTGCATCTTATATCTGTTGTATTACAAAGCATAAACCAGCTAACTTACATCTAAAGTTCTCCTTACTACAGGTTTACTTATAATAAACTTGCCCAATGTAAGAAAAAACATGACTGTGTGGGCTTTTATAGAAAACTGAGTTCCAAAACAGCTGGAAAGTAGAGATTTTTAAAAAAATCAAATAAACCTAGTTAGTCCTTAGATCAGTAAATAGCTTGAGAAACTGCAATGTTTATATGTAACTTGCACATAAACCCCACTGTTTATGTACAACTGCTTGCATTCCATACTCTTAGATTTATCATACTCAAACTTATTTATACTTCTATCAATACTTAGAAAATATCTTCAATTTAGACCAGGATTTTTATTCATACAGGGCCTACACCCAAACCTCAAGGAAATGATTCATCCAGAGTTATACAGAGATCTGTATCAGGAATACAATGCCCTTCAGATATTCTGACAATGGTAGTTAGGGCTGATAAAAGTTTAAATTTAAAATATTTGAACACTAATTGTCTATTCTTGTTTTAGACTTTAATTAAATTGCAGGTTTTGCACCACAGTGTTCACGTTTCAAGTGAAATTCTTCCTCAATTAATAAGAATTAAGGTTGGCCCTGACCAGGAAATGAACTAGATGATTTCATGATCCTATTTTAATATTGGCTCCCTCCCACTGAAATCTACCCCTATGTAATTGTACACATATTCACTCTCCAAATGAATATAAAACAGAGTGTTATCCATCTTATGTGTAGCGAACTCTTAAGTAGGAGGTTGCTCATAGTATAAAAATTAAATTGTAATAACATATATGATATGATCATATTGCAACTGAAACAATGCGGATGAGGTTAATGTAGTCAGGATGTGCCCTTAATTACATAACAAGATAATACCTTTTTGTGAGGAATGAGTTCAACACATGCTTGATACACCTGTCTTGTTCTCTCTGGATCCTAAAAAGCAAATCAATCTATGTTACACATTTGGAACAAGGCTTCCAGGCAAGTGCAATTCAAAATATTGTAGGAAAAAAGACATCTAGCTACATTTTATCACTTAAAACAATTCTTACTGCTTGAAAAACCTTTGAAAATCTTCATTCCTATCGTGACTTCTTTTTTAACATTTTTGTCTTTTGGGGGCAATATAAAATTGTTCACCTATCTAGGACTGTATTTTCAGAACATATCGTTTGAGTAATTAAAAAATGTCACTTGTAGCATTTAAAGCTTGGATATATAAGAACCATTCTCGTGTGAGATGGGCAACTATAAAATATAATAAACACATATCGTATATCAGTGTGGTATGATCAATTATATACCAAGTTATGGAAAAAAATCTATATGGCTGTGGAGTATCAGAGCTGATTTGATGGCACATAGTCCAATCAATGATACACCAAGAATGCTTTCATAGATCCCCATTTGCTGTATGATTATTTTCAGCAATGGCACACTGCATTTGGAAACATCACCTGATACAGATTTATTACTATCTTTTAATGCAGCGGTTCTCAACCTTTGTGTGATGGCGACCCCGTCACATGGACGCGCCGCGCATGTGCAGCTGCATGCGCGGGGCCACCCCCATGCACGGCTGCATGCACGGGGCCCGCCAATGTGCGTCTGCATGCGCGGGGCCCGCCAATGCGCGGCTGCATGCGCGGGGGCGCCCCATGCGCGGCTGCATGCGCGGGGCTGCCCCATGCGCGGGGCCACCCCCCACGCACGGCACGCATGCGCGGGGCCGCCCCCTGAGGGGGAAAAATGGCGGATCGCGTTGTTTGGCGACCCCCGTAAAATGGTTGTTCGACCCCAAATGGGGTCGTGACCCATAGGTTGAGAACCGCTGTTTTAATGAATGCCAACAATGAATATGAGTGGAGAAAGGTACATAGGCAGGCCATTTTCCAACATATTAAAATACTTATATACCATAAAGAAATCAATTATATTTTACAATGCTTAAGTGTTGGAGAGAGGAGTTATAAAGAGGACTATAATCCTCTTGTCTCATCATCCCTGTTTTAGGCAGTTAAAGGTTTTCCTAAATTAATGCACAATTTATTCTGTTTCGATAGTTACTGACTAATGCTGACAGTTGCAGAAGCTGATTAAAAAAAAAAAGATGTATGGCAATAAGCTATATAACTTAGTCTGCTTTCTTCTATGCTTTTCTTAGGAATCTAGTCAGCTATTTATCCACATGCTAATCGGTTGTACAGTATCAAATTTCCTAAACCAAGTCCCATTTAATCAAAGAAGATGCAAGGTTCGTGGGTCATTTTCCTTTACCTTTGCCTCTAGCTCTTCATAAAGTGCATAATTGATCCACAGATAGATGTACCTCTTCCAGTGTCGTTTTTCTTGAATTGGAGGAACGTTGGCAATGGCTCTTTCATAAACTTCACGTATCGTATCAGATTCTGCATCACTCTCCACCAGACGCAGATAGTCAAACCAAGCATCATAATTATGTGGATTAGCCTTTCGGGATAAATGGGGAATACTTTCAGAAGCACGGTACAAAATTAGCAATGTAATTGTCGAAACATGGTTTACTGATTGAGTTTTTGTTAATTCATCAGTTCAACTAAACAAGTCACCCAGAGTCACCTTGTAGGGGAGATGGGCAACAATTAGCATTGCTGTATCCAATTTCAGAAGTGCTAAGGATTCAACATAAGAAACAATGACAGCAGCAGTGCAACAATTGTGATTTATATGAACATAATTTGTAAATTCTAAGAAAATGTCTACTATTCTTTAAAAGAAAAACAGATTTTAGTACAAAATAACTGGTAAAAAAGGAAAAGAAACCCTATAAGCACATTGATAATAATGACTACCATGTTGGGAAATGTACTATTTACTGATGCATCCTTTTTTCATTCTGCAGTTTATGTTGAGTGGTATACAGAATAGTACTTTCTTCCATAGACCTTCAGGCTGAGATAATGATTTTTCTACAGTCAGCCAGTGAGTTTCAGTGACTGGTTTCAATTTGAACACGGGTATTCTGGCTATAGTTCAACACCATTACAATTATGTTAGGCTAGCCAAATTACACACTCCATCCTTACAGTAAAACAAAAGCAGCCGTCAAGGGAATTACCATTGAAGCAGACAATTCCCTTAAAGTTCAAGCCTTTGCACTCACTTTTACTTCTTCTTCATATTGGAATCTCCTCTTGCTAACAATAATATCTTCAATTCCCCTTCGGTCCCCAAATTTCTTCTCAAAAATTGTATAATTTTTGAAGAGCTCCTGTGCCTCATGTTTTGGAATTCTGTCCAGGGCATATTTGAATATTACTCGCACCCGTTCAAACTAAAAAGGAAGGGGGGGAAAGGAGGAAAAAAGAGCACTTTAAAATAGATTAAACTTGATCCTCATTGGTATATTCAGCAACTCTCAATTTTCAGTTAAAGCAGATGCTGTGAAAAAATTCTTTTTGAAACCTTGAAGAGTATTACACAAATGAATAATGTGCCAGGCTAGTTTTATATTATTGTACATCAGAATAAAATTTTATATTAAAAAAAATGAAACCAGATAAACACATAACTTGGGGGGAGGGGACAATGTTGTTTATATCATTGTTTACAGCTTACATAATTTGTATTGTTATATATCACATCTATAAAAGAAATATAAAAATATTGAGAAGTTCATTATTATAGTGAAGCTGTATATATTAAAGTCAAGAGAATTAAATAGGCTTAATTCAGTTAACTGAAAAAAAAATCAGCTGCAGTCTTAAAACATTTCAGAGACTAAATAAAATAAAACTGCTTCTTTAAGACGTCAGAATGAAGATCAGCTCAGCAACGGGATGTCCATGAGCATTAGGTCGCTGCCAAGCCCTTTATCACTTCCAACAGGTCCCTTCCATCACCCTCTTGTTCCCCCAGAGAAGACTGACCTCACTCTCTTCTGCTTACTTGGCTTCTGATATTCCAGAAGTACATACTTGATCACTCAAAAAGAATTTCTCTCTGTGAGAATCCACATGCATAGCAGAGATAACAGATCTTTGTTCAGATCATGTGAGAAGACTGGTAAAGGGGACATCTCATAAAGATAGCTTAGACCCAAGGTATAGCACAGGGGTAGGCAACCTTGGCTCTTTTATGACTCATGGACATCAACTCCCAGAATTCCTGAGCCGCCTGGCTCAGGAATTCTGGGAGTTGAAGTCCACGAATCATAAAAGAGCCAAGGTTGCCTACCCCTGGTATAGCAGAACAGAAAGTTTTGCTGTAAGAATATAAGCTTGTATATTATGTATACAGCATGTTTTATTGTAAACCATGCAGAGAGATTCAAATATTGGGCAAATTTAAAATTTTATAAAAACATAAATGGAAAATTAAACAAAAAATTGTCTTAAAGAAACAGCTATAATGTTGCTCATAAAATGCAAGCTAATAACAAACAACACATTACCTCTTTCTGGTTCTCTTCAAATTTGGCAAATGCAACATACAAATATTCATTCATATGTTCTTCTCCAAAGAATTCCACAGCTCTTTCAAATACTTTCCTTGCATGTACAAAATAACTATGTTTCTCTTCAAAACGAGCATATTTGATCCAATTCTTAACATCAGGATGGACCATGACAAGTAGAAGGCATTAAGGAACTCGAAACAAGATGTATTTCATTGAAAGGTTTAGTATAAGATCAACCTGCTGCTAATAATTATTAAAGTTATAAAAAAAACATTTTTTCCCCTTGGGAAAACAAAAACTTTGGCAAGATGAGCAATTAAAAGACCCAAATAATTTATACATAGATGCAACTTGGCTTAATATAGCAGCAATGCTGGTGCATACATTTCTTCACCAATAAATGTTTGTGAGTATGGATTTTGATCAGAAAATCTATATTGTAAAGCCAACCTCTATGCATAATAAATCAAAAGATGTTCCTTTTACACAAGACTGGAAGGCGAAATGCAAACAAAAAAATGCTGAATTTAATCCAAACATTAACTTAAAAGGATATATCTCTCATAAATGGAACGTGCTCTATCCACTTCCTTGTATCTTAGCTCAAAGTTAATATAGGAATGCCACGACTGTTCCTCTGGCTGCCATTCCATCCAACGCTCAAACACTTGGCGGGCCCCAGCAACATTCCCCAGCATCTCTTCCATGTAAGTATATTTGTACCTTTTAAAATAAAAACAAGGAAGATTATATCATTTAGAATAATAAATAACCTACCTATTTATATCTAGTAAAAATAATTCTTCATAAATAAGTAAATAAGGAAACTTTTTAAAAAAGCAACCACATATTGAGCTTGGATCTGGAGTGTTTGCATATTTGGCCCTCAGCATACAAAGTCTAAAGTAACGGATTCCAAATCTGGAATCGCCACCACAAACAAGAAAACTGGTTATCAAGTGCATGACAAGATGGTGAGAGTCAATGAGGTCTTGCAGTTATAAGGTCGAACTAAGAGCACTCTGCTTTCAACCACAGAATATGACTGTTCATTGTGGGCCAATCACTGTTCCTCAATCCACTTTATTTCACAGTCTTGTTACAGAGATAAAATTTGAGGGAATCTTATGAATGTCCATTTGAGCCCCTTGAGGAAAACCAGCAAATAACTTTTTTCAATCTACAAAACACTTTTCTCTCTCTATGTCTCTCTCACTTACATATTGTATGTTTGAAACCTAATAGCTTAGCTTACCAGAACTGATTAACTCTTGGTAAAATAGTGATAGCCCGATCCCAGATATTTCGCGCATGATTAACCTGACGATTCTTCATTTCCATTTCGGCATACTTCAGCCAAAGAGTTACATTTCGGTAATCCACATCTAGAGCACGCTCGTAGATGGAACGAGCCCTAAAAACAACACATTACTGAAATTAGCGCATATCCAATTCATTTTCTAGAGAAGTGGGCATTATTAGATATTCATATTCAGAATTTAAAAAATGGTTGTCGAGAATTACCTTTGTATTTCTTTGAGGCTTTCTTCCCATTGTGCGTATTTAATCCAATTACTAATAACAGTCCGGTTTTTCCTTATGTTATCTTCAAAAGTCTTGGGAGAAAGTAAAGAGTTTACTTCTAGAAAGCAAATAACTCTGCTGTAGATCCACAAAATCTGTATCAGAAAAATCTGATGAACTATGTTCAGTAAAATTTGTTAATCAGGAAGATTTCAAACAAGTAGCCTATAATACAGAAGCCAGAGAACAGTATAATCAAATTTTACTGCTTACATTTTTTATGACTCTGTAATCCATTTATGTAGGGTAGAATCAGGGTAACTGAATGGAGCTGAACTGGATGCCCTTCCTGACATACAGAGTTTGCAGCAGGTATTTTATTTTTGTGCATTTGTCGTTACCTAGGATTGAACTCTCAACCCTCAGAGTGGGAACCGAGCATCTAGGCTATCGTGCTGCTCAGATTTTACGGCTGACAATATCTCTCACGAATGCTCTCAGAAAATTCCACTTTCCTTTTATCCTATTATACCCAAGAAACCAGGAGACAAAACTTCATTCAAAAATTTCTCTTAGTAACTAGTAGTGATCCAATTTTACTTTTCCATATATATAAAATCTCCTATGCAGGCTTTTGTTGCATATTAGGGTTGAAAATTACATGAGAAACTAAGATGCTATATGGTTTCTCACTTCATGCAATCCTAACAATGGGTTATAAATATGAAGAGGCAGCCAATGAACAGTGGGTCAAGGATCTGAAAGCCCAATTAGATGTGACTACAATAGCAGGAAGGGGTATTCTTGGGCAGCCATTCACTTTTTTTCAAGCCAGCTACACATCTAAGCCAAACAACTGTTCCCAAATTCAGAAAAACCCTAACTCTAGCCAGATGTAATGCCTTCCCAAAAGCTCGTCCTAAGGGGGAATTCTATCTGAAAAAGACTTTGGGTGAAGGAATTTCTGGAACACTAAACCATATTTTTTTAATATTCCTGAATTGTGGTTAACAATACCTCATCTACTCAGATTACCAGGAATCCCAAATCCATTTTATTTACAGTTATAATCCAAACTAAGTGATCTTTTTTCCCATCATATGGCTGGGTTTGTTTAACTATTTGTAAAATACCATACCAGCCTTATTAGGATTTACTATGGTCTTTATTTGTTGTCTTACATTTGCTTTTCTTTCAGTTTTTGAGTGGTCAAATCTTTATTACAAATCAATACGGTATTTTATTACAAAGTATCATGTCTTATGTACCTTTCTTTTCCGAAGCTTGTAATCATTTAGCTCCTCTTCATCTGTGATTTTCTGTTGAGGAGGTGGGGGAAGAAGCTCGAGTTCTCTCTCCTTTGCTTCTCTTAACAATTGTTCTGCTGTTATCTGTACTTCTGCTGGAGCTTTATTTTTCACCTGATGGAGAACATTTTTAAAAACTACAATCAATTTGAGAAACCCATCTTTGGAATTGACATGTGGCACCGAACTTATAACTTTACAGCCTCAGAGACCTCTTGCTCCCGCCGAAATCTGGTAGCACTGGAAAACACAGAGCCAGAGTTTTCTGCTTTGGAAAGTGCTTGAAGATGCATACTATAGCAGGTGCAGTAAGTCTCTAATACTTCACACAGTGCAATTGATATAGGTAGTCCTTGACTTACAACCCTTCATTTACTGGAAGTTGCAACAGCACTGAAAAAAAGTGGCTTATGACTTTTTCAAACTCACAACTGTTGCAGCATCCCCATGGACATGTTATCAAAATTTGCACGCTTGGCAATTGGCATGTATTTATGATGGTTGCAAGTCCTGGGCTTATGTGATCACCTTCTGTGACCTTCTGATATGCAAAGTCAATGGGGAAGATGGATTCAGTTAACTGTGTTAACAACTACAATGCTTCAGTTAACAACTATGGCAAGAAAGGTTATAAAATGGGGCAAAACTCACTTAACTGGCATAGCAACAGAATTTTGGGCTCAATTGTGATTCATAAATCGAAGGGAGGGAGGGAGGGAGGAAGATTTCACATTGATTCATATTTTACACATCATTGCTATACCTGTAAAGGTTTGATTTGTGATTAGGCAGACCTAAAACTATGGCGCAAATTTCACTAATGTAAACTATATGATGCTAAAACCAGACATAAGAGAATAAGAGTTTCACAAAATGAAACTGTTTTGCCTTTGCAAGAAAATTTGATAAGACGCTGAGCTCAAATATTAAAATTAAAGCTTACATTCCACTCCTAACATCTATTCTGCCTTCTCAACCCTTGACCTAGTATCCTTGTACCTAGTACAATCTGAAAGGAGGTTCTAGTCTCATTTTCTTGTGGCAAAATCAAAATCTCTTTGTGATCAGCAACACAGAGATCTCTTTCTAAAGCAAACGGTTTTCTTATCCTGTTACTCAGGTGGCAATGCCCAGGATTAAGCTACCAGATTCACTTGCAAAAATCCAGACAAGTACTAGATAATAGCAAAAAGATGCAGATGTTTGCTTCACTCACATGATTACCTAGATTTTTGCAGCCAATGTCTTGTGTTTCTGTCCATATTGAGGATGCAAAGGCATTGTGCTATATTAAAAGGTAATCCAGTAGAACAAGGGTTGATTTTTCATAGCTTGTTGCAGGTACTAATTTGATTCTTTTTTTCACCTCCTGCAACAATACTGCACATTTATTATCTACCTCGGGTTGGTTATTTAGAACTCCAGTTTGCTTTTAAAGTCCCTCACTGGCCACTAACTTACACTCTGAAATATAACAAGCAGCATCTATCAAACAAAATAGTATATATCGAAGCTCATAGCTTAAACTAAATATTTAACCCAGTGCCAGAACTGTGTTAAAAATTGTATTAAAATTCCACTTGTTTTATCTTTAACAAGCTCATTTAGGAAAAAAAACTTTATTTTTTAAAAAAACTTTTTTAATCACAAACCCTGCCAATGTTATTGGGCTTCTCTTAGAGATGTAGCTTTTGCCCATTCAAGATCCATAATCATCTATCCATCCCACCTTCCTAAGGAGAAATGAAGACATTTGACAACTTTGGTCCTTGTTATTTATTATTTCCTAATTTGAAACTCACCAATTCATTATTTTATTTATCATACTTAACTGCCCATCTCCCTCAGATATAAATTCTAGTTTGTTTTGGACAATAGGAACCGTTTAATAGCCTTCTATTCTAAAGCTGTGCTATTTCTCAGAACTGTTAAAAAAACATTTTGAATGAATAATAATTATTTGAATAAATCGGTATGCCCTGAATTAAAACAGTAGTCCAGTTAGCTACCGACTGTATGCATGTTGACGATAAATAGCCTCAGGCTGCAATTGCACTTTCTTAAGAGTAAATCCTATTGAATCCAGCGCTGCTACCTATGTGTTTTGCAGAGATGCGAATAATTGTCCCCTCCGACATTTTCTTCTAAGCAAGTAAACAGATATAAAGACTATTTCTTGTAACACCAAAGATGATACAAAGTTTAATGAAGTACGGTATTTTTTCATATTGTGCAAGTTGTTCCCGATGACATTAGTATAACAGTGTACTTCTTTAGACAAATATTTTACTAGGATTTTATTGGTGTTTCCTTTAAAATAAAATCAGATTTAGAGTTTCTTTTTATCCAAAAAGAAACTTGATCCTAAAGCCGTTTTATTTAGAATACAAATCCCGGAGTTCTTCGGCGACAGATTACAACGATCTGATCTACCCTGCCTTCCTTTTTATCGAGTGGGTCATGCCTATTTTCCACAAAATCCTGAAAATCTCAGGTCCCACGTCTATCTTTCCCATTAGGAAACAAACACTTATACTAAGTTCAGCGAGACCCAGCTCCGAAATAGGCCACCGCTGTCTGTGCGCTTCGTGACAAATTCGCACTTTGCTTCCCCTGCCCACCTTTGCCACTTTGGGAATTCGCTGCTTCCCAGCCGCCGTGGACGCCATCTTTTCTCCCGTTCTATTAGTCTACGCCGCCTTTTCCTTCTCCTCCTCCTCCTCCTCCTCCTCTTCAGTTTGAACTTTGACCTCCCAGCACACCTTGCGCGGTAGAAGGTTGGGCTTTTGGTTGCCATAGGAACAGACAAACAGCCCGATCTCCGTTGACTGGATTCAGCGTCCGCGGCGGAGCTGTGGGTTTTTTCCCCCGCAGAGTTCCCGCGCCTGATCCTGAAGGGTGGCCGCTCCTGGGGAGGTGAGCCTTGGATAGTCTCCTGCAGTTGGAAACTGGCATTGAGCCATCACGTCCGGTTCTGCTCTTTCAAGTATTAGTTCTTGGAGCCGTTTCTGTTCTCTTCGCCAGAAATTCCCATGACACTGATGGGGAATGGAAGCAGAGCAATTACCAACGTGGATGTTTATTTTGGCTCTGCAAACATCCTTTTCCGTGGGCTTTGAAAATTCTGTTATATTGGGATTGAAACTCAATTTGATTTTAAAAGAGGATGTATCAAGCAAGTGGCGGGACCTAGCCGATCATGGGATAGGAACCTTTCGTTAGTGATGATTAGTCCACCTTGTAAGTAAAGGGCTGCAGGCTAGTTGATTAGATGACAAAATCCACTTGGTGTTTGAATAGGTAGGCAGATTAGAGCTGGCAGTATTTGTATGGGAGACCCCAGGCGGTGCCATTGGCTTAAGTTTAGGAAATTAACAAAAAAAAAACCCTGGGGTAGGCAACCTTGGCTCTTTGGTTTAGTGATTAAGACACCAGCCCAGAAAGCAGGAGACTGTGAACCCTAGTCCTGCTTTAGCCATGAAAGCCAGCTGGGTGACCTTGGGCTGGGCACTCAACTCTCAGCCCAATTCATCTCACTGGGTTGTTGTGGGGAAAAGAGGAAAGTGTGTTGGATATGTTCACCACCTTGAGTTATTTGTAAAAGTCGCAAAGGCAGGATATAAATAAATTAAAAACTTACTTGTGTGTAAGAAAACTACAGAAATACTATCCAAAGAATCAAGCTTGATAGAGAGATTAGTCCCCCCCCCCAGGCATTAAAATATATTTCTAAAGACTGAGTACCAATGATGGCTGTTAACAACCTTTTTTCTGCCACTCTAACCAAACTTTAGCAAATCTATATAACTCATCCTTAGTTTCACATCCATTGAAGGTTGAAAGTCTTGTTTTAAATGTACAATTCCAATCCAGACTGTGCTAGTTTGTTCTGTTATAGTGGTTTCACTTAAATTTCAAGTGGTATGATCCATTATATTATCATTTATATAAAGGATTCCACTACTTTATTATTTTATGTGAAAAAATATCTCTAAAATCCAGGACCCATGATTCGCATAGAACTGAAAAATTTGAAAAATTGTATAAAACATTTTATAACATAAAAATTCATAAAAATCATAAAGCATTTTATGTCATAATACAAAATGTCATAAAACATTTCCTGTGGTGAAGTCCTGATGTTTAACTGTGCTATATAGTTCAACCTGGGATATTTTCAGGGCAGATGTATCTCTGAATATTTCGCTGAACTCATAAGAAGTTTTGAAGTACATTAGAAACTCTGCCATTGTACACTTCCGGTTTTGCAGTGTTACCAAAACTGGGTAAGAATATTAAATCTGATTGATCTCCTGAAAAAAAAAACAATAAAACAAAAATCCTCTGAAACGGAGAGGAGGGGGATTTTTGCTCCACCTTCCAGCAGACATGGAGGCCATCTTTCACGAGAGGGTGAGCGAGCCTTTTGCCTTCCCTTACAGAAGGTGGGATGTGTGTGAGATTTAAAAAAGAGGCGAAGCAAGAGGAAAGAAAGGCGGCTGGCGTGGAAGCTTGCCTGACAGCGAAAATTTGCTGTTTCAGTTCCTTGGGTAGTTCAAAGACTGGGATGTCTACAAAAATCTCTTTTTAGTCTTTTATACTTTATATTCAAACTGCAGAGGGGAAGAAAGAATAAAGCCAATGTCTTGTGATTTGGAGATATTATTATTATTAATATATATTAATTATTGGTCAAACGTAAAGGTAGACCTACAGTATAAGGTTTAATCAGATCTACTTATTAAATTGGGTTTAACTTAAAGGTAAATTAAAAGTAATCTGTTCACTGACAAAGTTTCAACTTTAATTTGTTTCAAGTCTATGTCCATATTAAACTCCAAATGTAAATTTTTCCACCTTGTTTGACAACTTGTTAAAAATAATTCAATCTTTTACAAGCAACCAAATTTTGTTTTATTGGACCAATTTCATTCCACTTAGAAAGCTGACATTTCCACTCACTAAACTAAACGGGTATGCCAGTGGTAAATGTCCCAAAAGATTAATAAAATGCCTTCTTGTAATTTAAAGCCACACAGTGCATGGTAACATTAATAGTATTAACTTACCTGGAACAAAATCCTAGTCTTTTAAATACACTAAAAATTGAAGGGGTTTTTTTTTTTCAACTACAAAGGTAAACCTAGTAGGCTAGGCAAGGCGGGTTGTATGACGTGTGTGAGTTCCGGCACCTTTTTTTTTTTTTAACAAAAAAAGCACTGCTTAAGTGTAATTAACTCTAAGAAAACCTTAACAGGGAAAAATGTCTTTTGAACACTGCGGGGAAAATAAATTTAAGTGAGAACTTTAAAAACAGGATCTGTGACAAGGTGATTAAAATGATTAATTAGAAAAGAAGATTTATATTGATGTGGTTGTTACTTGTAGAATACTAGAAAAATGTCTATGTTATCTATTAAAATTACTAAGAAATGTACTAATTTAAGGTTGATAAAAGAATATTATTGGAAGAAGAGAAAATCAAGGAAAGCTATTACGTGGAGTATGGAATTATAGAAATTAATTGTTATTAATTAATATTATTAATTAATTATTAATAATATTAATTATTAATATAAACCCAGACAACACGCTGCTTACCAAATATTAATAATGATGTTTTAAAAAATCAATAAAATATATTAAAAAAAAAGAAAAGAAAGAAACTCTGCCTTGTTGAAGCCATTGAGGAATCTGGTAAGAAAATATCTCTAAAACAATGATCCAAGAGTTCACGGATGGTCTGGTTACATGCTAAAATTCAGCTCACAGTTTACTTTGAAATAGGTGCTATTGAACTATAAATTAAACGTACATCCATAAGAATTTCTTGACTGAAATATTTAAGGAATGCTGTGATTTTAAAATATTTCTGGAGATTAATTTTGAAACCATTTCAGTAATATCTTTAATGATAAGTGATAGTATTGAAAATGAATATTTGGTTATTGTTTTGTTACAGTATGCATGATGTCTTCCTTATCATCTGCAAGAATCTCATCTATACCACCATCTTCAGTTGTATTAAGTGCCAGAAGAACAGAATCCCATGATATTCTTAATATTGTCAGTCTTATGAAATATGATACAGAAAGACTGTTTGGCAGGATTAATGTCATATATCTTTTGTAAGTAACACCATTATAATACTTTCTCATATATCTAAAATAAATAAATGAATTCTCTTTTACTAATTTCACTTCAAAAACATAACATTTATTTTACAGAGAAAAAACTAATCTTGCAGTGACTGTGATTAATGACAAAAATATAAGTGTTGCTCATGCTGCATTTTTGGATTATCCTAACTGGGGTGTTGCTGATGAAGCTAATTGGGAAGTATATATGAAACAAAACTATCCTGAGACAAAGTGTACAGTAAGTATGGGAAATTTTTCCGCTTGAAAATTCTAATTCTAATTCATTTTTGTATATTCTCAGAGGAATAAATGCATAAGATATTTTATTTTTAATTACAAGAAAGCATGAAAATGATTTTATTTGCTAGTATTCATTGATTTTATATCCTTGTCTTCTGAAGTCAATCTCCAAGTATTGCTAGCTTTGTTTCACAGACAGAATAAGAACAGGTATTTTTTGTTACATTATTACATCTTATTAACAATAAATGGCTTTGGCTATTAAAAATTCCAAAGGTAATTATATACAGTAGGTGTTTAAAGAAAAGTTTTTTTTTCAGGTATCATACCTCTCATCTTTAACACTTAATTTTTTCCAAAAACAAATTCTAAAGAAAGGATCAGGGCAGTCTTTAAGAAGAGATAAGTGAGAGAGTGAATAACCTTTCCCAGAGTTAACAAAGCTGTTCTCCAGAGGAAAGGCAAAGCTCTAATGTCCATCAAAATAATGTCAAAAATAATAAATACATTGTGGACATTGAAAAGTGAAATAGCTGCACACAGAGAAATATAAGTGGATATTTTGAATTATAAATGGTTTGCTTATGGAGTTTACAGCATAAGAAGGAAACCATTATGTTTCCTTTTGCAATGGGAAAGGTAGCAAAAACTGCAGAGGAATTAGTCTGGTGTTTGAGGCAATGATTAGTAGAAGGGGTAGAAGAAGTGACAGTGAACCACATCTCGGAAAAACCGCATAGCTTTATTTGGGGGCAGTTGATGTATAGACCAGATTATTGTTCTTTAGTGTGTAATTGAGAAATGTATGCATATAGGAAAGAAATGTCTTTTGATTTAAAGAGAACCTGACAGTGAATAGTGTTGAAACATGAATATAGAGAGGAAGGTTAGCAGGAAAATAAATTGGCAATATGTGTAATGGAATAAGAAGGTAAGAAACGGTATCCTGCAAATATTTGGGTCCCAGTATTATTCAGTTGTTCATAAATGATTTAGAATTCTGAAAATCTAATTAGGAAGTAAAATTGACGGATGATACAAAATTATCTCGGATACAATAGTAAAAACCCAACTGGATTCTAAAAAAATTCCAAAAGAAACTCTGAAAGCTTGGTGAGTAAGCCACTAAACAGCAAATGCATTTCAATGTCAGCATTTTTAAAGTTATGCCTATCAGAGTGATAGTTCAGATCATCTACAAAGTATGTAGATAAGAAAGCAAATTCCATGCTAGTGGTCATTGGAAAAGGAACAAATTAGAAATAAGCCAATTATCAGTGTTGAATTGCAAAGCAGTAGATCAAGAGGGAGGGGAAGGCTGAGGAAGTCATGGATGGACAGAGTTGATCAGAAGCTCAAAGAGAGTTTAAAAAACAAAAAGTCATCTGTCTATATGATATGGTGGAAGCAAGAATACAAGCCTGCAAGGAGAGAAATGTATGAACAATATGAAAGGTATGAACAGTTTTGATATAAACTAGATTTATCTGTTTCTTTTTTCTTATTTAAGGCTTTTGATTTTTTTTTTGGCTTATTAGTTGTTACTCCTTTTAAGTGCTATGTATAAAAATGTTTATGCAGAAAGGGAATGGCATGATATGTATGTGGGGTCAACTTTGTGTTTATCCCAAGTCAACATATAGTTCTAGGTAATACAATAACTTACAAAAAGGACAACAAAATACAGTGAACTTTAAAAAAATTCCTTTAACTAAAATACTAGAGTAGCTGTTGCTGTTGCTGTTGCAGTGTTGCATTCATTTTTACAAGAACAAAACTAAGTTATATTATTAAAATGAAATGTTTTCTGTTAAGTTTGTAACTTTTTTTATTCACAGCCTTTGAATACACTATTTATGCATCTGTTTGTAGCAACTGATGAATGTGCAGTAGATAGTTGTCACGAAATTATGAAGTAAGTGAATTTTGTGAAGATCCTATATAGGAACTCTGTTGGAATTTTAAGAATGAACTCTTCTTTGACATTGGATTCTAATACATTTCTGTTTAAAAGTTTTATTCTGAAAGATTCCAAAGGCTTATTCAAAGAAGGGAATTGCAGTGTAGATCTCTTTCAATTTGGTAATATGTAAGTGTGTATTTCTGTTTATTGGGTATTTGCAAAGCAATTGTCAGCCCTTGCTGAATTTATTTATGTATTTATTTGAGGTATACCAAATATTTGAGTATTTTTTCATTAGTTTTCCTGGTAAACCAGACAGGAAATGCAACTAGATGAACTACATCTACTCTTTTGTAAGATTTCATTAACAGAACCTTACAAATCTGAAAGTACAAACTTCCTGCTCACCATTTTTAATTGCTAGACCCATTGGGGAGGGTCCTTCTTAAGTTTCTTTGACCATTAAACAATTAACAGGCTCCTTCCCCTCTTATCTGACGTTTCCTAAGTAATTTCCTCCCCTTTCCTCAAGCTTATCCATGCATTCCATGGATAAATAAATAGTCAAGATGGCTAATAGAAATAAACAGAAGCAGAATATATAAACTTAAAATATCCACCTCCACACTGCAGTTCCTGCTCCCCTCCACCCATCTTCTTTAATTTCATATTATTATACTTACATTATTTATTATTTTATTCCTTTGTTATTGTTATGTTAACATTTTTATCACTTTTTTCCATGTTATTGTTGTAAGCTGCCCATAGTAGCCCCATGGCGAGATGGGCAATTTAACAAACAAATAAATAAAATGAGTCTGTATACTGTATATTCATTAGCAAATTGCATGTACAGGTAGTCCTCAACTTACATCCCTTCATTCAGCAACTCTTCAAAGTTATGATGACACTGAACAAATGGAGATTATCATTGGTCCTCGGAGTTCTGGCCATCCCAGCATTCCTTTTGTCATGTAACTGTAATCTGGGTTCTTGATAACTGGCTTGTATTTATGAGTGGCAGTAGTATCCCAGGATCACATGATCACCATTTGCTAATGGGGAAGACAGGAGGAAAAGTCTCATGTCACTGGGGTAAGTCTGTCCCCTACGTACCCTCTCCTACCCATTCTGTGCTCACATTGTGCTGTATCCCCACATACTATCTGCACTGTGCTGCACTCCCACACCTGCACTGTGATGTACCCATGCCTCCCTCATACCCTCATGCATCCCCTTTGTACTCTTGCTGACCCTCACTATGCCTTTCACACACCTTCCCCAAGCCTCATCACATCTCCTTTCCACCCTCTCTAACCTTTGCCACAACTTTCTCACACACCCTGAAGATCCTTCCTGACCCACGCAATGCCTCTCATGCACACTCTCCCAACACATATGACACCTCTTATACAACCCCTTACACCCTCACACATCCTCCCCAATCCTGTCAGGCCAGTGCATCACCTCTCAAAAACTCCATTGCTCCTCCCACACATGGCAGCAGCCACTTACCTGCCTGCCAGCCTGGAACTTTCAACTTCCTGCCAGCTTCCCCATTGACTTTGGTTGTGGGAAGCCTGCAGGAAGTTGCTTTGTCTAATGAGAAAACCAGCTTGATCTAGTCATTAAGGCATCTTGCTAGAAACTGGGAGACAATAATTTTAGTTCTACCTTGGCATCAGGGTCACCTAGCTGGGTGACTGTGGGCCATCACTCTTTCTCACCCCAACCCACCTCACTGAGTTGTACATACATACATACATACATACATACATACATACATACATACATAAATGTGACAAGCATACTGACTACTCCCTCCTATTTTCCCCAACAACAACCTATCTTACTGGGTTCTTGCTGGGGAAAATAGGAGGAGGAACGAGTATTTGGTATGTTTGTTCGAGTTATTTATTTATTTAGTTATTTACAATCCAGTGAGATAGGTTGGGCTGAGAAAAAGGACCAGGCTGAGGATAGTTCATCCTGGGGAAAAAAATTATGTGGTTGCTATGAGTTGACACTGGCATATAATCAATTAATCAAAGGACCAAATTGTCTTCAGTATGTGTTATTTTTAAAATAAGTTTCTTTTGACAAATAGCTACTGTATAATTGTTACATAGCAAGACTGCATTTTTATTGCCTATCATTCTGTTTTCTAGTGTACTGTTTTATTCCCTTTTGTACCATTGTAAGACTATTTTATTCTAAGGGTGGTTTTTTTGAAACACAGAGCTGGGCTGTCCAGGAACAAAACAGTACCTAAATGTAATAAATAGTAATAAAATAATGTTTGATAACATGAGATAATTTTTTTATGAAAATTAGAATAGGCAGCTCAGTGAGCTCAGCCTGCCATACTGCATAAAACATATTTATAATTCTGTGAGCTATGCCACCAAGATTTACTGGCCAGAGCTTGCCATTTCATCCTCTCCTTGCTAACTCTTATACTATACTTTTATAATATAATCACTTTAAATATCATTAAATAAATAAATATCATTTTCTTGTATTTAGATAAATACAGTGAAAGGTGTTATTTCAATATTTTAATAAACAGTTACTGCAAAACTGCAGTCTGCTGAGGAACAGAATGGAGGAAGCTTACAAAGCTTTTAGTCTCGTTACTGACCACTGGTAGTATTCCTTGTGAGAGAACTACTTGAAAGCATTTACAGATATATATGATAAGTTTGAGATAGGAAACATAACTGATATATTATAAAGAAGGCATGCAAATCACAGAATTACATTTTACCAATTACTTGTAGTTATTTTCAGACATGCTTACTTATATAAAAAGCTGGCATTTCTCACTAGGCTGACCAAAAATTAGAAAGGTTCTTACAGTGCCAACAGTAAGACTAACCCATTTTTATTTTATGATAAAGGCATTAAGATTAAGGCATAATCTTTCATCTTACTTCATCACAAAGCTTAAATTCATGCCTTAAGGCATAAAAACAGGGGTCTTCAAACTTGGCCCTTTTATGACTTGTGGACTTCAACTCCCAGAATTCCTCAGCCAGGCATGCTGGCTGAGGAATTCTGGGAGTTGAAGTCCACAAGTCACAAAAGGGCCAAGTTTGAAGACCCCTGCTTGAAAATGAAAATGGATTATTCTTAAAAACAGTCCCCTTCTGAATTTTGGTTATCCCACATTAACATAGCTCTCTTCCTAGAATGTTCTCAGAAGGCTGGGCATTATAACATGTGGAAATCTGTTGATCCAGACTTGATCTTGAACTGGACATTGAACCATAATCACAATAGTAGCCATGTATATATCATCCCACAGTTCAATAAGTTTACTTATCACATGTATATGTTGCAAGTCTAATCTTGGGATTAGCAACACAACACTCTTAGCAGCCACTTCCCCATTTATATTTAAAGTAAAAAATAAAAATAAAATGTTCTGAGGTGGTTTTTTTTTTTTAAAAAAAAATACAAGTCTTGCAATATCTTGCATGAATTCTCAAGAAAATTAACTACTTTAATTTTTGGTCTTTTAACTTCTTGGAATGGCAGCACCCAAATATTTGTGATCTTGTGATCTTGTCTATCTGACACCATTTCATATCTTCACTTGATTCCTGTGCTCTGAACAGTCTACCATTCTACTTAAATAAAATTAAATAAATAAAATTAAAAGATGACTGTTATTTTGGTGTATATTATTTTTTTTACCTAAAATAAACAGCAAATAAACAAAATACAATATTGTTCACAGGACTGTTTTTAAAACTGTACCAGAATTACATTTCGTATTTCTCTTCATACCATTTCAAGAGGAATTGGGTAAGGATTTGTTTAAGTTCTTTATGGCTCCTAAAACCTTTCTTCCTTTTTATTAACTCAATGCAATTTTAAGAAATCCGCAGCAGACTCAGCTGCTACCTCTATTATTTGCTACCTCTGTTAGTATTGAAACAAGCTGATTCTACATCCCATCTCCCTGGTACTTCAGCTTGAAAACTGGTTACTATTATTTAGTGAAGAAACAAACAAATAACTTTCCATGTGCTAGATAATTATTATACTGGCATGTGATCAATTACATTTGGAATGCTAAAAGCAAAAGAGCTATTGATCTTGAACATGCATTGGCAGTATTTGGCATTAAAAATCCAGCTGAAAAAATAATAAAGCAATAAAAATATTATTAAATTAAGGGCATGAGGGAAATGCATACTACAACAGAAGATTTAGTACATAATAAGAATAAATCCTGTTCCCAAAAAGAATACTGTAATAAAAATGGGAATTAGGATGTATTGGAAATGTATTCCTATCTTTGTTATGGGATTTTGTTGAAAAGTTGTCTGCTGTTTATAGTAATTCATTTTGTTTACTGGCTTTTGGCTTTGATAGTAATAAGTACGAAAATAAGAATGGATGATAATAATTCAATGAATCACCTAGCCATTACTGGCTTATAATTTAGTAAATTAGTAAATAACAAGAATGGGAATTGCAATTTAACCTCCTGATTTCCCAGATGACTGTAAACCACATTACCAGAAGGGTTTAAGTTACAGGAGGAGCATTTGAAGGATAGGAATTGGAGTTAGAGGTTGCTGAGTGGCCTCTTGCTGTCATTCATTCCAATACCTGATTCTGATTTTTGCCTTTGAATGTTAGTAGTGGGATAATCTGAGTGTGCAGGAGATGCAGGCAGGATGTTGGAAGAACACATGTAGGCTAGAGGTTGCCCACTCCTGCTGCAAAACAACACTCTTTACTTAAACATTTAAAATTAATAATAATTTTAATGCCAGACATTAGAAACAGTACTTACTGAAGGTTAGCTGAGGAATCAATGCAGTCTTTGAGTTACCTGTAATACACATTTGTCATTTTCAGGTATAGATTTGGCAGCAGCTTTTGAGCCCATGAAAAATCCTGTCAGTTCATCTCTGATTATGGAATATAACCTCCATGTTTCACACAGGCATCAATATTGCCCCCAGTTATATATTCGCTGTGCCAGGTAATATGCTTCATTGTGTGTGAGGGTGAATTAATCTTCTGTCAGTATCTTCATTTGTGTCTTTCAATATTCCTTAATAATCCTTAGTGCATTTATGCACATTTTATAACGTTCTATTCCAACGTGCATTTTTGCTCTTAGTTCCTTAATATATTTATGTGGTTGATTTATTTGTATTATTCAATTCCAGTTCTTACCTATAAAAACCCTGCCACATTTCTTGAGCTGAGAGAGTGAATTTCTCTGGCTGAGAAAGGAATGGTTTTTCTACATGGGAATTAGTGATTTATCTTACAGAATTTGTAGTTGTGAAGAGGAAAATCTCTCTGACTTGCTAGTTACTAACTTTGTGATGATGATCATGAAACTAATATAATTTGTTGTTATTGAAGGAGAAGGAGGACGAACATTCTCTCAAAAGCAGTTTGAAATGACAGCACCAAGATGCTAGTTTAGTTTCTATGGTAACGGATTAATTGTGCAAGTGTCCTCTCATACCCCTTTACTTTGAAACATATTTAAAAGACATTTAATATTGAAAGAAAGAAGAAAATTGCTTCAATATCACATTTATTAGCTTCGCATGCTTATGCCATATAGTTTGTTTCTCAAAATAAATCATTTAATTATATGGGTTTCTTCAACATTCTGACAGGTAATAAATGAGTTGGGAGTAACTAATTGTTAATTGACCACTAGAGGTCATCATAGACCTTTTAAAATACCTCTTGTGTAGAGCATTTAGTGAAGTTGGGAGTTAGCAAAACAAAAGCACAGAGACAACAAGAAAGAAAAATCCAGATTTTTTTAAATTCTGTTGTAAAATAATTAATAGAATAGGTAAGCAAAATAATGAAGTCTGGCTAATTTAAATCTTTAACCTTTGAAGGACCTTTGGCTTATAAAAAGATTTCTGTCCCAAAATCCAGTGTCTGAGGTATTTGAAACTTTGTGCTATCACCAGCTAGAAAAACATGTCACTCTTAGCAAGAACTGAATACATTTTCCATCCAAGGTGTAACTTACTATTTTAACTTGCTTTATTACTTTTTTCAAAAAAAGCATAGTTAATTTTACAGCATGTATAAAAATATAGTTCAGGAAGCCTATCGCCAGTTATAAAAATAATACATATGTACACATGCATGCTTTATATAAAAGAACATATACATTTCTGTTTAAACAAAACTAATAGTATTTACAGCTATTAATTTGTATTTTGAGAAGAAAACAATTTACATTCAAACAATTGAAACAATACTTGTTATCCATAAATCCAAATACCTGATGAAATAATGTATGTTGGTAAAAAGAATGTATTATTTCAACTAGCATTTGTGGTGAGATGGGTGGATAATAATAATAGTAATAATAATATAAAAATTTGTGATTAACAAGATTAACTAAATTGAAAAATATGAAATATTCTTCTTCACAAGGACATGATATAGTGCATGGAAAACCGATTTATTTGTACTTGCAGTAGACCAGAGATCAACTCAAAGGTTGTCTAGGAAGCCTTCTGAAAGTTTGTCCAAAGGAGCTCATAAAATCCATCATCAATCTGAATCAAGTCTCATCCCATTCTTTGTTGTATCTATGGATGGATATATATTTTTGTAGTAGATTATCCTATAGATATCATCTTTGGGAGTGCATTTTTATGTGGCCCTGCCTCTGAGAGTCTATTCTTGCTTAATTGCTATTATTGATACGGTAGCTGGCAGACATGAGATTGGAATTTTATTTTTTAAATGCTGAAATAGCTTATATCCCTCTGAACTGCATGGCAAGAGCTGGAACTTAGCAAAGCTGAATTATTTTATATTAAATTGATTCCCACTTGCATCACATGGAATTTCTTCCCTTGAGATGCTGGGCAGGTTTCACTGAGGAGGCTTTAAAAACCTGTAAAACTTGACTCATATTTGTTATTGAATTGTAAAATTGTTTCCTTTATGATTGTTAGGTCCTGTTTATAAAATCTGACCCTAGGGGATAAATGCTGTCAGTCTTGGCATGTCCCAAGTAATAATTCATAGTTTTTCCAAGACTTTAAGCAGCCTTTCTGGTCCTATCCATCCACCTTACCTTCACATACTATTTTCCTCAACTTCACTTAATTGATTTGATTCTCATATTGTCCACCTGGTGATATCTATATATAGAATCTGTGATTCTTGCTTGAAGCAGATAAACCAAAGAATTCTGTTTACAAAAATTTATTAAAGTTATATCTTCAAGTACTGCATTTCTCCATAGTATTCCCTAACAAACTGATTCCTAAACAGAAGAAATATTTATTTTAATAGACTTTTATTAGCTTTTACAATTTATTTTATTTTGTGAGCTACTTTGGGAAGACTGTTCACAAAGATGACAAAAAACTGAATTCAATTAAATAATTAATATTCTTCTTAAAATAGTAAGAAAGTCTTGATGAAATATATAGGAGTCTTTTGTGAGCCATAGCGTTAAACCATTATTAACACTTATTGGTAAATGTATCATCTCACCATTCAAATATTTGCTACAGGTACTAAAAAGACCTCTTAATTAATCTCCCCATAAATTGTTTATTTCATATTCTAGGAAAAGTATAAAATACATTATTGCTAGATATGAAGAAAGAAAATCCATGGGATTTATTTATTGATTGATTATTAAATTTATTTGCCACCAATCTCACTTTTGCAGCAATTCTGACTGCCTTACAAAATAATAAAAAGGCAGCAGAAAATGATTAAAATTACAAAAAATTAAATAAAGACTAAAATCCAAGAGGACAGGCGACATAGAGGTGGGGATCTTCTCTCTATGCCGTTACAGCCGGTCCCAGCAGAAAGCATCCCTGTCAGGACCCCAGGCCAGCCTGCAGAGCCAGGTTTTAAGGCTCTTCCTGAATTCAGGCCAGGAGGGTGGGAGCTGATCTCATCTCCAGTGGGAGAATATTCCAAAGAGTGGGGCATATGGTATATAAGACTATATCTTTCCAACAAACTAGATGGATTCCTATTGAAACAAGTGAGAGCTATTTAGTATTTTAATAAAAGAGGCATGGAATCAGAAAAGAGAAGGCAATATTTACTTTATCAGCACAATGAGATCTTCATGCAGTCATGAAAAGGCAGGCAACTTATATTGAATAACATGGCAAGGTATTTCTTTTTTTTCCATATTTGATTATCTATTTTTTAAAAAACAATATTTATGACAAGGTTCTTCATGTTTAACCTTGTCTGACCAGTATTACAACTTGCAAATTCATCTAAAGAAGTTTTTGGGAATGAGTAGGAGTGTGTGCTTTTTTTCTGATTAAACAGTGATGTCTCTTTCCATATTCCCACAGCTGCTTCAGAATCTTTTCCAAGGGCATGCTCACACAATATGTGGAGGCAATTGGGAGCAGATCCTGAAGCAGCTGTGCAAGCCTGGAAGAAGATGCAGCTGCTTTAGTGGTTCAAAAAAGGGGCCAGACATGTTACAACATATTTCTCTAGAAAGTCTGCCAGCCACTTTCAAGATCACAAAGATTTCCAGCTTGAAATAAATAATAATTATAATAAATAATGGCATGCAGTTCTGAGAAAAGATATCACTACTTGATAGCTCATAAAATGCACACATATCTTGGACTGCATATTTTTCTAAATATTATATGTAGTTACAGAGCATAGCACACATGCTTCAATATGAGAAAATGATTGCTAACAAGTGGTGTCAGTTCTGTTTTTATGGAAAAGTACATGTTTGTATTATATATCTCTGAATTTTACTGTAGTCAGTAGCACATACTATAGATACAGTGTGTGTATGTGTATTTAGATACATGTATACATGTGTATACATATACATTTATAAATTAGAAATCCTGAATTGTTCAATAAGCAAAACCAAGATACTAAATTATATTCCTTGATATAATCAATCTGTATATTCCACTTTCCTAATTGACTTACGGCTTAATAACTAGTTAGTTTGTGACTTCATATGAGAACAGTTCCCATTTCAAAATGTCTCAGACTAGTGCAGAATGAGAAGTCAGAAGATATGCAGATAGAATTGTACTGATATAGCAAGTGTAGTTTTTATTTGTATAATTTTGGTATGCCATAGTTTGACATAGTATGGAATATTTCTGTCTAAGATTTCTGGACACCCTAATTTTCATAGCAATTTAAAACAAAAACTTTGTCCATTGGTAGCATTTTAAAGTGATAAAATGTTAAGTAGTTAATGAATGTTGATCAATATTGCTAACCAATAATAACAATAATACAATATTTGAAAATAATCCTTGTCTTTAGTGTCATATATGAACTTTCAGCTTAATTAAATATGAATAATAAGTCAGTTTGATACATACTGCAAATAGTTGCATGTTCCTGAGATCAGTGGGTCTCTGCAGACTCAGAACTTGAACTTCAGATTAATTTAATTCAGGGGAAAACTCTCAAAACATTTTTTTTGTCAACCCGAAAATGTAAATTTATGCTATTTCTTAGGCAAGGCTCTCTGACTTTAGAAATATTAGAGGCTAAGGCCAGACTCAGCAAAAAGTCATGAAGCTAAAGAATTCATTAATGTAAAATTCTTCACTGAATGCAATGAAGTAGAGCTACAGTTTTGATAATAATTATTAATCTACCCCATAGCTTTGTCTCTGTCTTTTAAGTCCTGACATTGCTTTTTTTTTAAAAAAAAAAAAATCAGAACAAGGTTTATCTGTTCCACTCACATTCTAGTCTGATTCTTTACTCTTCTTTATGATCCTTGACTTGACCAGGCCAGGAGTCTTCTTCAAAAACTATGTTTCCTTTTTATAGCCCTGTTTTCATTTTATGTAGTCTCTCTTCCCTTTTATTTCTCAGTCTTTTTTAAACTTATGTATTTAACTGAAACTTATGTATTTAACTGAAACAAGAAAAGTCAATATAAATAAATCTATGAAATAATTTGGCATATCTCCTGCAATCATGTTTCATTGTATTGCACAATTATATATAAGATTTAAGCCAGAAGAATACTGTATCAGTTCAATTTTTAAAATCCCCTAGATTTCTAATGCTTTCTCTTTACTTTATGACATATGTGTTCAGAAACTCCCCACTTTTACCCTAATCAGATTGTTATAATAATGCCAAATGACTTCTGGGGCATTCAGTTACAACAGTATTTTTATTTTATCTCGGAGCTGGTTGTTCCTGACAGGCACAAAATATCATATTTCATTCCAGAAATCTTTCTGCTGTGTTATTGAATTTTAAAATAAGACATTTTTATATGCAATACATTCTTCATAACTGGAAGGACAAGCTTTATTATAAATGTAGCTCAATCAAGTAAAGGTATATTTCTAAGTTGCTAGTTTAAATAAGACTCCATCCACTCAACGCTTGTTTAAATATGTGTTGTATTTAATCTGTCTTGTTGTGTGCTGACAATTTGCACAGCTCATGTTTAGATAATAATCAGTAACCAGATTATATTTGCATTTTTAAAATTCTTTTAACAGCCTTTACACTATTTGGTCCAATACTATTTGGTCAATATAAAAATATTAGATTAATTTTAATCATAGGATTAAAAAGAGATTTGCAGTTATTTTGACTATTAATTCTACCAGTGGATTGGTTAACAAACGAAGAATAGCTGTGTTAATGGGTAATCTGAATGAAAGACTTTGATTTGGTGCTACATGTTTGCTGTTAAATCAGAACTCTGCCATTGTTGTTCTTGTTAATTGCAAAGACGTGTCTGACCCATCGCGACCCTATGGACAACGTTCCTCCAGGTCTTCCTGTCCTCTACCATCTTCTGGAGTCCATTTAAGTTCACACCTACTGCTTCAGTGACTCCATCCAGCCACCTCATTCTCTGTCGTCCCATTCTTCTATTGCCCTCAATCTTTCCCAGCATTAGGCCCTTCTCCAGTGAGTCCTTCCTTCTCATTAGGTGGCCAAAGTATTTGAATTTCAACTTCAGGATCTGGCCTTCTAAAGAGCAGTCGGGGTTGATCTCCTCTAGGACTGACCGGTTTGAACTCGCAGGAGTCTTCTCCAGGGGACTTGCAGGAGTCTTCTCCAGCACCATAGTTCAAAGGCCTCAATTCTTTGTCGCTCAGCCTTTCTTATGGTCCAACTTTCACATCCATACATTGCAACTGGGAAGAAAAAAAACTCTGCCATACTATGATGTAAATCCAAACACTGGTAGCTGTGATTGTACTGAAGAAAGATGTACTGAAGATAGGCTGAAGAAAGACATTTTTCTTGTTTCTTATATTAATTTACATATTATTGTGTTAGGTCTTGATATTAAAATGGATTAAGTAGTTTGCCTCTGTTATAACCATCTAATTTAGGAAACTACCATCTCTGCATAAGATTTTATCTTATCTTGCAAAATGTCCATTTATGAAGTTTATTGATACCTTTTTTTAACAATTATACTTACATTATTTAAAACAAAAATAGAATCCTAAATTATTTTTTGTTATTCTTAAAAGGATAATCTCATTTGTAGGGTAGAAGACCACGATGATCTCATTCCGATCTTTTCACGGCATAATGATACTCTAAGGCAGACTTATGGAGACTATTTCCTCGCTGAACTGATAGAAGCTCAAGATGAAAATAATCTTGCTGTGGTTTGTGAGGTATGACTTTGATGGTAATAGGGAGTTACTAGATAAAGTACCTGTCTGGTTTTTTTAAATGACAAATTGGATTCATTCAAGATATCTCATAATATTTCACCCCTAGTTTGAATAGGGTTGAAATGGCTCCCTATCATTTTATCTCCATAGGGAGCAGATTTGATTATGGAAGATTGTCTGCTATTTAAAAAAAAGGCTTCTTTGGGTTCTAAACTTCTAGAACTTCAATTAACTACAACTCCTTAAAAAAAAGTAGAGATATAAGTATATCCCATCTTACTCAAAACAGATTATTTGGCATGTTTTATCTTTTATATAGAGCTCCAATTCAATTTCCTTCTAGGCTTTATTTATATTACATGTCAGATAATAATGTTGAGATTTGCTACTGAAATGGTTCTTTTATATTTTGTCATTATTCAAAAACCCAAAGAAATAGACATATATTGGATGGGGATACTATTATCAGCTATTGGATGGGGATACTACAGCTAGAGATGCTAGCAGGGGAATGCTAATTTTTGGTTTAAAAATATCCCCAAAGTTAGGCCATTTGCACTGTATCAGAGGCAGATTGAATATGTCAAGATTCAAAACCGTATTTCAGTAATTGTAAGAATTACTGAAGATGAAATAATCTAATTCATTCTGGATGGAGTTTGACAAAATAAGGATTCAACTGGCTTTTCAGACCCCAATCCTGCACAGTTGCACGTGAAATCTCTTTGCCATACTGCTTGGAGAGATATGTAAGTAAAATATTACATATAATTAAGCATCAAGTCTGTTTTGATTGTTGAGCTATGATATTATATTAGAGGATAGGTTGTTACAATAAAAATATGTACTTTTCCCTCAGAAATGAATTGATTGTATTAATATATAATATAATAATACATAACAATAAATTGTATTGCAGGTAAACAATATTTTTATTGTAGTGTTTGTCAGATGAGAGTTGTGCTGGCCTGTCATCTGTTTTTATGTTGAAATGTTCAGCATTTTATTACTCACTTAATATTTTCATAGTAAATTTTTTTTAAGTAGATATACCATATGATTAATTGTTCCATATATACAAAAGGCATAGGAGTTTAACTGAACTACACTCTATTTAGAAGTCTCCATTTTACCGAACATATAAAGAAATATTTTCCTTTGCAGTAGGATGGGAGGAACATCCCTATTTCATTTAAGAAGTGAAAAACCTCTGGCTTTATTTAAAATTTTAATTTAATAATTTACATCTTCAGGGAAAGTACTTTTTAAAAGTCTTTTCAAACACCTTTGATTCATTAATTAATTAACTGACAGAATTTTACCACTCTTCTTGTGCCCTATCCCCTATAAGTATGTGCCTAATAACTCTGCATTGTTCTGCAAGGTATTTGTCTATCGTTTAGTCTTAGCTCTGGGTTGTTATGCTAATGATTCATGCATCATTATCAACCATCCTCTGTTTATTTTTGGCAGAAATAGGAAGCTCACTGGTTGCAATGTAGCCTACCAATGCCAGTTTTTGCAACTTCCTGGATTTGGCCCCCCACCCAAATTGTGGCAAACTGGCAATTTCAATGATCTGAGCTTTTGCATTTAAAAAAAATAAATAAAATAAATACTCAAATAAGTATATTACATCTTGGCAATGCACCATTCAAAACAAGGAAGACTGATGAAATCAGTCCTGCTTCTCCAACACCAGCACTCTGTCACTGTCATTCACCCTTTAGATCAGCTTTTGGAAACTGAGCTTTAAAAAATGTGTCTATGAGTTGCTAAAACCTTGGCTCCCTCCTCCTGGCATAGATTATCCAACTGTGGTTTACAAATTATGATTTTTTTTAAAAAAAAAAAATTCTAACCATTCTGCCTCAAACAAAAGCCAAAGCCCAACACATGATGTGTAGGGAGTAAATTATGCAATCCTAATCTGCAAAACAGGATAAGAACTATGAATAATATTCAAATTTCAGAAAATCAGTACAAAATAAGATGAAATCAGAGTCAACAAGGTTTTGTTTGTTTGTCCATTTATTATATTGGTTTATCACCAATATAATGAGTGATAAACAAATAAGTGATAAACATAGAAGTAATAATACAACAAAAGAAAAATAATGAATAACAACATAAATAACAATGACACAGTAACAACACAATGGCACCCAAGGGCAACAATGACACATTATAATTATAATGGCACCCAAGAATATTTTACCTTTGCTTCAGCTTAGGGGTGGGTTGTGTGATACTTCCCATTAAGAGATGGATGGAGCCTGTTTAGAGCAATTTTATGTAGGTCTGTATCTCTTTTTACATGACTTATTTTTAAACATCTGATTATTCTCACTGGCCTATTCTGAAACCGCTCTAATTTGTCTGGATGCATAAATTGAATTGCCAATATGTCTAGTGCTTAAATTGAAATCTGACCAATACAGAATAAAGTGGACTATTATTTATTGAGATCAGGAAACTATTTCAATATGGCTCTAAGAGCAGCTACATTTTTCTTTGATTCTTCATCCCTTCTCCCCCTCCCCAACCAATAACTCAAATAATACCAGCAGCAACTATTGTGAAACTGAGGACTAAAATGCACTGATTTTGAGGGTACAAAGATTGGGAAGGTTGTTGTAAAGCACATAGATTATAAGTATCCAGAATTCATAAACATTGGGCTTTGGAAAAAGAAAGAAAGAAAGAAAGAAAGAAAGAAAGAAAGAAAGAAAGGAAGGAAGGAAGGAAGGAAGGAAGGAAGGAAGGAAGGAAGGAAGGAAGGAAGGAAGGAAGGAAGGAAGGAAGGAAGGAAGGAAGGGAAAAGAGGGAAGGAACAAAAGGAAAGAAAGAAAGGAAGGAAAGAAAGAAAGAAATGAAGGAAGGAAGAAAAGGAAAGGAAGGAAGGAAGGAAGGAAAGAAAGGAAAGAAGGAAGGAAGGAAAGGAAGAAAGAAGGAAGGAAAGAAGGAAGGAAACAAAGAAAGAAAGAAAAAGAAAGGAAGGAAGGAAGGAAGGAAGGCTGGGGGATTCTGGGAGTTGTAACCTGCATATCTTAAAGTTGTTAAGCTTCAGAAATAGCGCTTTATTATCCAAAATCAGAAGGCAATACCTTTTGAGGAGGGGGGATTAACCTATTTTACTAGAAGGCTCAAGCTTTTGGGATCCAGAGCTCCCTTTATCGGGTGCTAAATTGATACAGGATTTGATGGGGGGGGGGGAAAGAGGAGAAATACAGAGTAATTATGTAGATGCAGAATGCATGCAAAACAAATTAAAAGCGTTCACTGCCAAACTGCTCCTACAGGTTGTCCTCAATTTGCGACTACAACGGAGCCCCAAATTTACATTGCTAAGGGAGACGTTTGTTAAGTGGGTTTTGCCCCACTTTATGACTTTTCTTCCACATTAGACATGGTCATTAACTTCCCCCATTGACTCCGATTCTCAGAAGGTCGCAAAAGGGGATCGTGTGACCTCACAACACTGCAACCGTCATAAATGTGAGTCAATTGTCAAGCACCTGGATATACATCATGTGGTGCTGCAACAGTCGTAAGTGTGAAAAACGGTCCTAAATCACTTTTTTCAGTGTTGTAACTTTGAACGGTCACTAAGCCAACAGTTGAAAAATCGAGGACTACATATAATGTGTTTTTTTAAAAAAAAAACCCAATGTGCCATTGTGCCCACATTATAAATAATGACAATAAAAGTTATTTTAACCACATGATTGAGCCATGACTTTTTTGACCCTCAGGTGGATGCCTGTCATCTGACTACCCTGTCATCTGATTAAATGGAATAGTATGTCTACAAGTATGGCTGTTCTTAAAATTAAGTCTGGAAATCATGAGATTAAACTGGAGTATGTGAGCTGTTTTTCATATCTGGTACATGGCTTTGAAGCCTGAAAAATTATCACTGATAACACAAAAATAATCAGTGCATATAGTTATCTGTCAGAGGTCCTCTTGCTATATTATAAGGAAGGAGCATGAATTTTAGTACAAGAAGTTAAATGGTATCTTATCTTATCATATCTTTTGGAAAAAACACAGCATTTTTAATGGATGTTTCAGGATAATGGCTTAGCAGTGGGGTTCATGAGTATATGTTCTGAAGTGAATGTTCAGCTGCTTCATGACTGCTTTGACTTGAATCTTTTCCACGGACTTTGCAAACCACATCCAGATGATATTCTTAAACCACCATGCATTTCAAGTGAAATTACAGGTGAAATCAAAATATTTTACAAAATTTAATTTAGTGGTAGAAAATACATTGGGCTAATACATTTCCCAGCAGGGTGATAATACTCTTTAAAATTTATTAGTAATCAGTTCCATAAAGGACAATGTGCATAAGAGACTGTATAAAAAGTAAATACTAGCTATCTTAACTTTGGGAAAAAATAAAATTTATAAAATAAATTATGTTAGATCAACTGACATTTTTAATAATAGCTAGTCTTTAACTTTCTTAAAAGTATATTAGAAGATTTAAAACTCAACTGCTGATCCCATATTCCTTGCAAGTTTTTGGAAGATTCCTGCTTCAGTGGGATATAACTCTGTAGCAGATAACTCACAGTTTACATGCCTTTGGGTCATCTCTCTATCTAAGAATGTGGTACATATTTCCAAGACCAGCCATTCCCCCTGTTGGGATAAATATACTCTATGGAGGTGTGATGGCTATCTTGGGCCCAGCAAAATAAAGCCATAATCCGGCCTGCAATCTTAAAAAAAGTCACAGGCACCTGCATGTCTCGTATTCTCTATAGTTGAAACAACTAGCATTTGGCTAGTTCAAGATGATGGGCAGAGGTGGAGCAACAGATAAATGTGGGTTGTGGACAAAAATATGTTATATGCTCAGTGACCACTGGATCGCAGCAAAAAGCTTTAGTGATGATGCATCACATTCCTGCAAATCTGATCTGACAACACTGATACTGATATCATGTGTGCTCTTTTAAATCCCCCCCACAACAAAGATTCCAAGTTCCCACTATTTTATATGTGTGCAGCTTTCAGGTATCAGAAGAGCTTTCCTCCCTCAAATGTAGTTACTAGCTCTTTAATTGATCACAAATGTTGGGATAGAATGATCTATCTGAGAGATTTTTCTTGCACCCAAGCAGCTGTATTTGGTTCCTTGTCCCCTTGTTTTAGGTTTTGACTAATGAAGAGATAATATTAAGAAATTTGCAATTATCACAAATGTATAAAAAAAAATTTTATTAAAAGTTTTAAATTTTTTTTACAATATATAACCCAAAACCCTCCCACCCCTCCCCCCGTCCCCCACTTCCCAGAGCAGATTACAGGGTTACAAATAAACAATCATAATCTAACTAACATTACCCAACTCTTCTAACAATCAAATCCATAACATACTTTAACTCCTTTTTCAAAACAAATATTAACAAATTAAAAATAATAATATAGTTAAACCATAAGTATAAACCATAATTTATACTAAAATAGTATAAATTCAATCATATTAAACTATTAACAATAACCTAAAATCTACTCGTAAGCAAGATAGTACTTTTCAGTCTCATATTTCTTTTGAATATAATCAATCCATCTTCTCCAGACCGAAATGTATTTTTCTTGTGAATGGTCCTTCAAATAAGCGGAAATTTTCACCATTTCTGCTAAGTTAGACACCTTAAGTATCCATTCTTCCATTGTAGGCAAAGAGTTTTTCTTCCAATTTTGCCCCATCAATAATCTTGCAGCTGTTATAAGATTCAACATCAAATTAATTTCTTTAACATCAAAATCAACCGTAATACCCAACAAAAATAATTGTGGAGTAAACTTTATCTTTCTCTTAAAAATCTTTTGAATGTTCCACCAAATCTTAATCCAAAAATCTTATATATCTCTACAAGTCCACCAAATATGAAAATAAGTTGCATCTGAGCTTCCACATCTCCAACATTTAGGCTGTAAATTAGGATACATGCGGGACAACTTTTGGGGGTCCAAATGCCATCTATAAAACATTTTATAAAAATTTTCTCTTAAATTTTACGCTTGAGTAAATTTTACATTTCTAACCCAAATTGTCTCCCATGTATCCAATAAAATTGGTTCTTGAATATTTTGAGCCCATAAATGTATAAAATTTTTAATTTGCAATTATCATGAATTTATAAAAATATTATCTCTGAAGTTTTGAAAACTATAATGGATAATTATAAAAAATGGAGTAGAGTTTGTTAGACACGTCTACCTAGAACAGGAGAAAGTATTGTTAAGCTTAAAGGTATTTCATTCTGAGTAGATTTGTTAGGACTCCACATTTCAAAACTCATTCCCCTGCCGAAAGTTTAAAAAATGTATAGAATTGAATATAAAAATCAGTTCACAGTGTAAGAAAACTACTTACTTTATAATATATTTTATGCTTTATTTTCTCTTACCCCCATTTCCCCATTCAGAAGACGAAAACATTAGCTTAGGAAGTCAAAGAGAAGAGATTATGGATACCCAGAGTATAGATATCCAGGTAAATATGAGCAGGAACACCCTAATGCTGAAAATTAAATCTTCCTAATGAAGTCTGACTTTCATATAGCCAACTAGCAAAAAGCACTAAAATATTGTGCCTGCCAATTACAATTTTATAATTATAGCCAGGTTTACGTACTTTTTCATGGTTACATTTAAGTAGAATCCATGGATATGAATGTACAGTATGTACAATTACTGTACACATTAAGATAGCTGCTTCTGATGACATGGTTTCTAGTAAATTATTAAATTATCATTAGGATTTTTGCTGCAAGAGGCTAACCTAGCCTTTTCCAAAAACATTTGTATATGTTACCATTATATCTGATGTCTTATAATAACTTTATCTGAATTAAGATGAAAAGTGTATCTATACGTTACATAGCTATCCTAAAAGTGTTGAAATGTTAGCTTTGTTAGATTGTTCCAGACTGGATTGTTTGAAAGGTCTGCGCATCCTTTTTAAACCTCCAAACAAACCTTTCATTTCCGTATGTATGTCAGGTCAAGGCTGGGGTAGATGCTTTTGGATGCCATCCAAGGAGAATGAGAGTTGAATTAGATTATCTGAACTCTGCCCTGGCCTTCTTATACAGATCCATCACTGGCATGACAGATGATGATTTCCACAGCAGATGTGACACTCCAAGCAGCACTTCTCACCATCAGCAAATAGATACTTTCACCCATTCTAATTATTCTCCCACACTCGGCCAACCTTTTCCCCATTATCTGACAGAGATGGGTGGTTAAGAAATGTGAAATATAAATAAACATAAGAATGACCAGTTAATATTTTTAAGGCAAAGGTCACACTGCATACATGCCAGTGAGAAAGGCATACTTAAAAAACCAAATAAAACAAAATACAGGATTAGATGAGTCTTTAGTTTGACTCAGAAGGATTGATTATACATGGAACAAGCCTTGAAACATTCTGAGTCTTCTGACCATAGAAAATAATAAAAGTTGAAACAAACCTCTAGCTCTCTTCTTTTTCGTTTCAGATCCTCAAGGTAGTGAGCTGTTAATCTATACTATTTTTCATACAATTTGAAAAAAAGTGACCAATGAGATATCTTTTTCAAAATTAAATGAAAATATTGGTTAAAATTCCATGGTTCCTTGCTTGGCTGTACATGGATAGAGACAATAAAAAAGGATACTTGAAATTGTTTATGTTCAACATTAAAACAGAAAAAAATATTATTCTAATATTTTACTGCATTTGCCAAGTAGTTTTCCTCAAAATCAACAAGGAATTTGAATTTTCAGCATGTATATTGAACTCAGTATCAGCAAGAACATGTGCTGAGTTCATTGCAAGCATATTATACACAGAAAGTCAATGGTTTTTTTCTATGCTTGATCATAGCCAAAAGGTCAAGGTGGCCGCAGCAAGCTGGACACAGTGAGATGGCTGCAGCCAGCCGGATTTGGCAAGTTGTCCCATTCCATCTTCATTTAGCAACCACAATTGGACCGGTAACTGAGTTGTTAAATGAAGCTGTTGCTAAGTGAAACCAGTACTTATCATCTTGCTTCAGCTTCCTTTTGCTTTTCAGAAGGTTGTAAATGCAAGGATTGATTATAAAATTACTTCTTTATCACTGTTGTAATTGTGAGCCATTGCCTAACAAGGAAGTTGCTAAATGAGGACCACCTGTACACACTGTTAGGTGATGAGAACTCCTCAGTTCTAAAGCATTCTACATTGTGCAGAATCCATATTTGCAAAGATAGATGTTCCAAAAACTTTATGTACAATCAAGCAGTCCTTATCTCTCATTATTTTCATGTTTCAGAATATTACAATATTATTATTGTAATATAATTATTATTGTAATATAATTATTACAATAATATGGACTAGATGACCTGCAAAGTCCTTTCCAACTTTATTATTATTGTTACTGTTATTGTTATTATTATTATTGATTAGCTATGAGCAGAAACACAAATATTTTTTTCAGGATGTATCAGAAAAGAATAATTGCTCTTAACAGACTTTTCCCCTCCCCTCCAATTTGTATTCTGACAGAGAATCAGCAAAATTGGAACTATCTTTTCCCAAGCTTCAAGTGTAAATGCAATGCTATCAAAAGAAAGTATTCAGGCAAGTCTTCTAAATCTGATATTTTGCACTCTTAATTGTTTATATCCTGCTTATTTATATTTTCTACGTCTAGGTTCATTTATATCTTCTAAACCTAACTTAAGAACTAGACAAGAGTATATGAATCATGTGTAGCACTAAATTATAGTGGTGGCCGGACAATTTTAGCAATGCATGCCAGTATGATGATTTCTGATGCTAAGTCATAAATTTGTTATAATTCTAGCTTTTGGGAGCACCTCTGTCTCATGGTGCTTGAATTCATTTCTTTTATATTTTTAAATGTTTTTCTTATTTTAATTATCTGTAATTTCCTCTTAATATTTTTTATTTCAAAGTTTATTTCTTTTCTTACCATTATTTTCTGTACATTCTGAATTCATTGTACTTTATATAAAGTGTAAGATTATAATCCTATTTTCTGTAAAACGTGACTATTTGCTTTATTATATATTCATTCAAAATCATTCTAGAAGAATATAAATTTGAATCAAACTGGTTTAAATTTTCCATTCATGTATAAAGGATCACTACCCCAAGTTCCCTAGATTGCATAGAATATTTTAAAGCATATTAAGCTCTTAATATTTTAAATTAATAGGAGCTGAATCTTGGTCCCTGAATTTGGATATTTTTTTCAGCTCTTATGAAGAATGTATAAGAATTTCAGGAAAAATGAAATATAGTAGAGATCATGTTTCCTTGGATAATTTCTCCCTTCCTTTATAAAACAAAAAACAATGGCCTGGCCACAAAAAAAATACATTGTCATGAGGCAGAGAGTAGAAGGTATGGTATTTTTCTTGGAAATAGAGATGATGATGAAGGCAAACCTCACATTCCTACTAATAAATAGAAATGTAACTTCAGCGTAAGTTCTGTAAACTTCAAGACAGAAGCTTTAACACTGAAGTTTACAGAAAACCCACACACAGAGATCAGTATTTACATTTTGATTCTCACCGCCCATTGGAGCACAAAATGGAAGTAATCAGAACCCTACACCACTGGGCTGAAATTTTGTCTACAAGTGAAGAGGGAAAAGAAAAAGAACTAAAACATGTCAAGCAATCCCTCATAACTTATGGTTATCCTAACTGGGCCTTCATCAAATCCAGAAAAAGATCCAGTAGGAGCTCTTCCATTACAGACAAAGAAGAGAACAACAAACAAAGCAACATTATCGTTCCATAGGTTGCAGGAATATCTGAAAAGCTCAGGAGAATTTTCAACCAACACAACATACATACATACAAGAATACATTAAGGCAGAAGCTCATTCATTCCAAGGATAAAACACAGAGACAAAAAGATAGATAGATAACCTTTATTGTCATTTTTTACTGTGGGCACAATGGCACACATTAAAAATGAAATTTAGTTGCTTGCTCTCAAAGTGTACACATACATAACATACATTGAAATATACTATATACAACATATGTATAGACCTACACCCTTACATATAAGTAACATATAAATATTAATCACTGTCCATCTTGAATATATAATGGAAGGAAGAAGCTTTAGAGTTCACAAGGTTAATGCTGTATGGAACAAAACTGTGACTGAATCTGGATGTTCTGCTTCGGATACTCAGAGCCTCCTCCCAGAAGGTAACAAGGAAAACAGGTCATAAAGAGGATGTGGTGTCCCAGACAATCTTACGGACCCTGCTCAAGCTTATGTGCTATGTCCTGGATGGAAGGGAGGGAACTGCCAATAATCTTTTCAGCCATGATTACTACTCTCTGCACTGCCTTCCTATCTGAAGCAATGATGTTTCTAAACCAGATTGTGGATGCTGTATGACAGGATGCTCTTGATTGTCCCTCTGTGGAAAGTGGTAAGAATAGGGGAAGGAAGATGTGCTTTTCTCATGTGACATAGAAAATGCAGGCGCTGCTGTGCCCACTTTACCAGTGTCTCACTGTTGAGCGACCAAGCCAGCCTACTTGTTAACTGCACACCCAGAAATTTTATGCTGGTAACCATCTCCACAGATGAATCATTGATACACAGAGAAGTGTAGCTGTCCCTGCCTTTTCTGAAATCGACAATGATCTCTTTGGTTTTTCCAGTATTTAAAACTAGGCTGTTTTCCTTACACCAGTTCACCAAACCTTCAACCTCCTTGCGATAAACACCCTCATTGTCATCATGAATAGGGCCCACTATTGTTGTATCATCTGCGAACTTCACAATATGATTGGTGGCAAACCAAGCACAACAGTCATGAATCAACAGAGTGAACAGCAGTGGACTTAGGACATAGCCCTGAGGAGAACCTGTGCTCAAGAAAATGGTGTTAGAAATATTTGTTCCAGCTTGCACATATTGGGGCCTGTTTGTAAGAAAATCAAGAATCCAGTTGCACAAAGGAGTGTTTAATCCTAAAAGGCCCAGTTTGTCTACTAGATGCTGGGGAATGATTGTGTTAAATGCCAAACTAAAATCGACAAACAACAAATGCACATGAGTATTTCTTTCCTCTAAGCTCAGATGGAGAACAGAAGAAATAGCTTCCTCCGTAGAGCAATTTGGTTGGTAAGCAAACTGAAGTGGGTCAAATGCTGGTGGGAGGCTAGATACAATAATGTCCTTTATCAGCTACTTAAAGCATTTCATAATGATGGATGTTAGTGCAACCGGACGGTAATCATTGAGGCCTGTAATTGTGGACTTTTTTGGCACTGACAAAACGATGGCCATCTTAAAACATGATGGGACCACTGTCTGCTGCAATGAGAGATTGAAAATATCTGTGAGAAGGCAAGCCAGCTCATCTGCGCCTTCCCTAAGAACATGTCCAGGGATATTATCTGGGCCTGCTGCTTTCCGAATGTTAACTTTCTGCAGTGTTTTCTGAACAAAGGTGACATCAAAGCTAAGCATTTGTTCGTCAGGATGGGACACAGCTTTCCTAACAGGAGTGCTATTTGATGCCTCAAATGTACCAAAAAATGTTTCAGCTTGTTTAGGAAGTCTGTGTTGTCCTCGCATCTTGATGGAGCCATCTTATAATCTGTAATAGCCTGGATTCCTTGCCACATTTGCCTGGTGTTTGTTGGGTCCTGAAAAAAATTCTGAATTTTCTGGCAATGGGCTTGCTTTGCACCTTTTAGGGCACTTTTCAAATTAGCTCTGGCTGATCTAAGTGCCAGCGTATCGCCTGATTTAAAAGCCACATTTGGTGCTTTCAGCATTTTGCAGATCTCATAAGTCAGGCACAGTTTTTCATTCGCCCTCACAACAATGCTCTTAAGAACAGAGACATCTCTATGCACTTTTGGATATATGCAGACACTGTGGTAGCATACTTCTCAACATTTATATGTTGGTTATCACTAGCTGCTTCTTTAAACATGCCCCAATCTGTGCATTCAGAGCAGCCTGAGCAATGTGATATATGCAATACAATGCCGTAAGACATTTGCAGATCTGTACGTTGGTGAAGCAAAAAAACCACTTCACAAGCACATGGCACAACATAGCAGGTCAAACCCATCAGGACAAGATTCAGCTGTCCAACTACATTTGAAAGAAAAAGATCACTCTTTTGAAGACAGCAAAGACCACATTTTGGATAGAGAAGATCATTGGTTAGAAAGAGGTGTAAAGAGACCATTTATGTTAACATTGGGACCTCTCTGAACGGAGGATTAGTCTACACTTGCAGCAGTGCCAAAAAGATTCCACAACCAAATGCACCCTGAGGGCAAAGATAAACCTCCAAGTGGCCTCAAGAACTCTCACAGAGAGTGCTAACAGACCAGATGACTGTAAAGAAATACAATCCTTCCATCCCCCCCAATCCAGTCAGAACCTGTCTTTTCATCCCCCACCCCCACCCCCAGTTTCAACTGTCAGTACCTATCCTTCCATCCCTCCCTCCCCCTCCCTGCCATCACAACTGATGAAGTTTCTGGGATGAGAAACAAAACATTTTGTTCTTCCTCAAGAAAAAAAACAGTCCAGTTGAGGTTTTTGTTTTTGTTTTGTTTTTTATAAAAGAACACTTTTTGAGACAACTGTGACCTGGATGACTGAGAAACTACAGACCGTTTAGATTTCCACTACTTTAAATTTATCCTTGGGCATTCTCAAGACTTTATATATTTTATCCCAGGTTAAACTATGTTTTCTTTTAAATGTAAATAACACAGGATTTAGGACAGAAAAATAATTATGGACATGTACAAAAATTGTGTAGGCTTCCTAGGATTCCTGCCTTATTTGTAAGTTTGTATTTGTTATTTGTATTTGTTATTTGCAAGTAAATCAATCCTGGAGATTTTCTCCCCAAAAGATGTGCACACATAACATTGATGCATATGAGTATGCAAGAACTCTCACACTCCCCAAAAGAAAATAATAATTTAATGACTTATTATTGATTAAAGTTAGTTGCCTTTAAAATGAAGCATCCTATTCTTGTAAGTGACCGTTTGTGGTTATATACAAACACCAATCATTTTCACATGGAAACTACGTATATAAAAGGACACATACACAATTCTAGATAGAAATTACAAAAATCTGAGTGGAGTATCCTTAAACTATATGTCTCTCTTTAGTTAAGCTCCCATTCAGTTCGAGGCTCTTATTACCAGGAAATTAAAAATAGGAAGCTTCTGTGATAGAGAATGATTTGTTTACTTCAACATTCTCCATCTAAACTAAGGAGGAAAATAAATCTTTAAGATATTGTGCTTTTTCTGTTTGGAAAAGGAAATATCAAAACAATCTAGGGATCAAACCAGTGGTGTGGGATTCAGCCAATTCGCACCACTTCGGCAGAACCGGTAGCTAATTTTTTGTTGCCCAGGCCCAGAATGGACTTCCAGAAGTGGCATCCACACAGAGAACCTGTTGTTCACATATTTGAATCCCACCACTGCATCAAACACAAGAAAACTCATGCACTCTCACTCTGTAGTTAAGTCTCACTGAATTCAGTAGTTCTTCAGATATACATTCATACTCAAAGAGGAAAACAA